CGCTCCGGCCAGAAAAAAAAAAGTTAAGAGGTAGCGGTGGTGGGCCCTACGAACAGTTCCCACAGGGGAACCTGCTCGATACCATGAGAAGAAGTGAACGAGAATGAAATGACTATGAACGAAGTGAGTACAAATAGGAAACCCTGATTGGGTTGTACCCCTTATGGGATACCCCACTATAGCCTACAGAAACAAGTAAGCTATATGTTCTGACACCTTCCGGCTCTTCCACTCCGTGAGACACCTTCGGGAGATGCCGGATTTGCGAGACATGCGCCGCACACTCATCTCTCCGTTTTCGAGCTTCAGAATCCATTGCAGCTTCTCATGCGAGGTGTAGGAATTGCGCCTGTGCTTTGTTGGCTTGTGCCTGGGGGAGGGAGGACGGGCATCACGATTATCGCGAGATGGGTGGGGCCTTTTTTTATTCGGAGGGGGGAAGGAGGGAATTGGAAGGTGCTCGGGGAGACCGTCAGCAGCCCAGAACTCCACGTCGTCGTCTGCACCGGTTGCGGATTCGTCCAACGGGCAAGCAGCCGGCGCTCCCCACCGTTGCTCCGGTGCGGAGGAAGATCCTTCGCCGCCGCTGCGTTCAGGCTCGGACAGGAAGGCGTCGAACGCCGAGTAGCCAGGCGGGAGGAGAAGCTGCAGAACCCCCTGTCCCGGAACACAAACAGTAGGCGGGACAGGAGGGGCCGGAGGAACGGGAGGAATAGGAGGCGCCGGGGGAGCGGGAGGGGTAGGAGGCGTAGGAGGAACGGGAGGCACTACTGGTTGTGATGGAGGGACGGGCGCAGGGCGCGACTGCCATTGAGAGTAGTCACGGGTGTCTCTGCAGGTACTTTCTCTAGCAGCAGGTCGGCGGCGGAACAAGAAATGCGTGCCTGGAAGGTCCGCCATGGCCACGGCAGGCCAAGCGAACAAAGAAAACTGAATCAAAAGCTGAGAATGAGGGCCGTATGAAGCCCTCGCCCGAGACCCCTTCAGTTTTGCGGCCCGGCTTCCTCTGCGGGGAAAGTCCAGCCACAGTCAAGATTCCACGCAGAGGAGCTGAGCTGGGAAGCTCTTTGCCTTAGTGGCAGGGAATCTTGATGTTGATGGGCACGTCGTGGCTGAACCACGACGTGCCCACGATCGCATGCAACCATGATTGGGCCGCTGTGATGCGAAGTACGTGTGCGCTGGCATGGGCCAGGTTCACGTTCGATGAACCTGGCCTGACCAACAAGGCGTGGAAGGCGTCATGCCACGCCTTGTTGGCCGTTTCACGCGCAAAGCATGCACAATTTCGAACGTTCTCGACTCAGGTGAATTCGCCTTTGAGAATGCTTCGATTTGATATATTTAAAAACAAATTTCATTTTTGACATAACATAAACGCCGGCGCTTATAATTTTACTATATTATAAGCCCACCCCCTAAAAAAAACATGTTTTATTAGTGCCCCCCATGGGGGTTTATCCGGGGTATGACGGTAGCGGGTTTGAGAAATCCAGAGCGGGGTTTTGGTTGGCGTATCGCGGAGCATCAGACTTGCGTACTGTATCGTACTAATCTTTAAAGACAAAAAAAAACTTTAAAGACAGAGGCAACAGTTTTTGAAAGGACTGCCTCACAGCCCCCTTTCAGTACATTTCAGCCCTCACACCTTCTGTGGAAGGATTTGTATGTCAAGAGTGTATTCCACGTAGTTGAAATTCATATGTGAAGCCTACTGTGGTTCTGTCGTTCTTTTGAGTCGGAAACCACTCGCTGTGTAGCAAACGTCGAAACATTTTTGGAAGAGTTTTGTTGGTGTGAAATTTTCGGACGAGGAGCAGTTAGGGTGACGACAGAGCCGTACGCTATCCAGGTGTACCATCTCGCGGGCGGTGTACAACAACGATTCCAAATCCTCCTCCTGGATGGCATTTAAGCCCAGGGGAAGAATCCGATGCTGCCGTTTGCAGAGTCTGTCTGTCTGTTGTTGTGGCTCTTGCTTCAAAAACCTGGCGCCTGAGGCAAAGCAAGGAACCCTCTGGTTGAGTCGAGCAGGGGGGAGCGTGACAAGAAGTGCAGGTCGATGTGTTCGGTCTTGTACAGTACAAAATGATTTCTTAAGAGTTGGGTAGGGTTGCGTCAAGCAAGAATACTACCAATTTCGCAAAGCCGGGACGTGGCGTAAGGACGTGGGCCAATCGAGTCTGATCGAAGTTGATCTCATCGGGTCGGATTGCTTGTGATCACATTGCTCTAGCCGCCCGATCAGCAAACTCTCCTGCTCGGTAAACGCAGGAAAACCACTTGGAAACTATTCCACAAATTCCACTAGATTGGCAACTGAACGCACCTGCCGAATATATTTTGATTCTCTGTAATATTGTCAATCCCTGGAGAGTTCTCGCCATGTGCCATGCATGGGCGAGTTCACGAGACCCAATACAACAATGTAGCATTTCGTAGTCATCGTTATGCTCCCCGATCACATTCAATCAGCTAATCGAGGGTGATTGAGCAGAATCGTGACTAATCGGGGTGAAAATTGGGTTTGATTGAGGTGGAGCAGTCAGGTGATCACGATCAACTGATTGCCCCCGATTGCTTGAAATTAGCTTCCAAGCTTCATGGAAGTTCTTGATCGCCTCGATAAACTCGACTGGGCTCGCGTCCTAAGGGCGCGTGTCCTTATACAGTACATTGCAAAACTTGTATTTTTAGTTGAACTTCTAACATTTGATCATAGGTCGACCTAGAGTCAACGAAATCGGCTTTTGTGACCCGAGTCGCTGCTTCCCGCGTCACATGAATCACATGGCACACAAAAGTTCGACGGTCAAAGTTGAACTTCTTACGGTTACCAAAGAGTCGCGACGATTACCGAGTGTGTTCGCGACGCCGGACACTTGATTCGCAGTAGCCCTAGTTCACACGTTGTGTTCTGCAACTGTCGTCATTTTCGCAGTTTCATCGTGCATGGTCCAAAGGGCACACGAGTGACATTTCGTGCACGCATGGTTTGTGCCGAAAGCTCGACCCATGTTTAGTGCCCTACTTCTTCAACAAATTTTGTAGTAGGATACACGATTTTCTCGCGAATTGATCTGCGACATTCACGAAAACGGTTACCACTAAAAGTTCAACTATTCTCCCGAACGTCTACACCAAAAGACACACGCCCTAAGGATGTGGGCCCAATCGAGTTTGATCGCGACTGATCTGATCGGGTTGGATCTGATCAGGTTGCTTGTGATCGAAGTGCCCGATCAGTGTTGTTTTTCAAAGAAAGTTTTCGGCGCCTGCTCAGCAAGCGCAAAATGGCCCTGTTCGATAGCACTTTGGGCCCCCACGATGCAACCATTTGGTTTGGCTCTGTCGCCCAAATGGTTCAGTGTCACGACAAAATGCAAGTGGTAGGACAGCGCCGGCAGTGTAATCATTTTGGCTGACCCGAAGACGGTCGAGATGGTCGAAAGGCTCCACCTCAACGGCCCTTTGAAGCAGACTGTTTCTAGCCGCGGGGTCTGCCCGGGGGTTCGACGGTCTGCGTAAAAACAAAAGCCCTAGCCAGATGTTTGTGTTGAAAATGTATAGAGTATTCCAGATCGGTTCCAACATTAGTTAGGTGCGTCGAAAGGATTTGTGGTGCGACTGGTTTATACCTTTTGTTTGGTGCGACTATCCCTAAATAGCCCATTGGTCTGGCATTGGGGCCACTCATTTGAAAAGTAACATTGGCAATGGTATGAAATTTTACCAAGGATAGGCTGTAATGACTAGGCGACAGTCAGTGTTACTGCGCGTTGTGGTGTCAAACCACCCCGTTGAAATCCCCGCCATGTTGTAGCAGCTGGGCGGGAAACCAAGGACATCGCAGGGGGGTCGTTCGCGCTGGCGGGAATAATGCCTCGTCGCAAGGGGTCGCAAACCGTTTCCCGCCCAACCAACGAGGTCACCTCAAAGCGTTTCTGGCGGGGTTACCCTTGCTGTCGAACAGGGCCAACATCTACCTAGCATTTTCTTGCCCTTTCAAGCGAGATTGGCGACCAGACATCACCCGGCGTAAATCCTAGTTTCCTTGTAAGGGGAACAGTGTAACCAGTCGTAAGCATCGCTGGGGGCCCCGATCATGAGCAATCAGGTGATTGCCTGTGATTGAGAATAACCGGCTCTGATCGGGCTAAAAATTGGGTCTGATTGAGTTGGAGCGATCAGTTGATCGCGATCAGCTGATTGCCCCCCATTGCCTGAAATTGGCTTCCAGGCTTCCTGGAAGTTCCTGATCGCGTGTGATCGAGGCGATCAAGCTCGATTGGGCCCACGTCCTAATAAAGCACATCGGCTTCCTCCTGATTGTCGTATCACATCTTGTTGCCTGCGACTTTGTTGGGAAAATCACATCTGCTTCCTCCCGATGGGAACTGCAGTGGCATGTCCCATCGAACGGCTAAAAGGGGGGAGACGAGTGCATGAACAGTAAACAAGCTGTACGTGTACGGGATTTTTTTTTGAATTGTTGATACATTAAAGGGACAATGTATACAAACAATAGCAGTCGTAACTGTGTGTACGGGAAAATTGTTGAACTGAGGCCCCGAGTTTGAATTGGGCAAGACACACAAATGACGGGAACAACGCTGGGAAGCGAGGTGGTGGGGAAGAAGACATACAGTTTGAGGTCCCAAAAGGCTTTCTCGGGACTGAAAGAGAAGAACTTTGAGAGTTTCAGGTGTCCTTCAAATGTACCTTGTCTAAATCACAATGATTTTAAAAATTACCATATATTTTCAGTCAAGATAGGATGATTGGCCATGTAATGTAGGTTCTGGTTCAAACCTCGTCACGGGTCAGAACGAACCGTAGAGTATCGTTCTCGTAGCTCGCGTCCAACGAGCGTTGTTGCAAGTCTTGCATCCTGCCCACGCGACCAACCCAACAGTTTCACCTCATCAGACGCACAAAGCGTCGTTCCCACAGATCTTTGTCGTCCATGCAACGTTAGTCTCCATGCAACGTTAGTCTCCATGCAAACGCCAAGCGAGAGCCGCGGGGGCGGGGATAGAAGCAGCAGCGACTGTGAAGTCGAGTCTCCGCGTGGAGTGGTTGACGCCGCCGTGCGGAGCGTTGCTGGTTCCGCAGACGACATTGTGGGGTCATCTGATATACTCCCCAGCGACGACGGATTAATAGGGAGCATAGGCCGTACCAGCGGCTCCAGCTTTGACAGTACGAACGCGGCGTCCCCGTCTTTCCCGCGCGTCGTTGAAGTCGTGACCTTCGCGGAGCCCACGCCTCGCGACGACGTGCCCGGCATGCGGCTGCAGCTACAGACGGCCTCCGACCCGCTGGGGCCGCGGTCCATGGCTCTCGACGGGCTGTCTCGATACGAACTGGTCGACGCGGTGAAGAAGCTCCAGGCGGACCACGAAAATTACAGGCGCGAAGGTAATTGTCCAATCGTCGATATCCGCCGCGGCTCGTACAGTGTGCAACAGCTCGGCGCGTCGCGTCTCGCTCTCCGCGTCTCTCCTCTCTGGCCTCACCCGCATCTGTCATCGTCGTCAGCGCGCATTCCGAGACGGTTTGACGACGGACCTTTACGGCCTTGCGGCTTTCCGTGCCTATCGCCGTCTGCGTCAATGATGCGAGCACCGGTAACGCAAAATGTCGTGTATCCCGCCACGCACCCACACGCTCTCCCCTCTCCACGCCCTTACGCCCCCTGGCAGTGGCATTCCAGAAGGACCTGCTGGCGTCGGTGGGGCAGGCCGTCATCTGTACCGACCTCGCCGGCACCATCACCTACTGGTGCGTCCAAACGCGACGCGGGTATAACATTGCGGCCGGGGTGGCAGTTCGTGGCAGGGTTTGTGACAGTTCAAACGAGGCGTTGATCCCAATGAGGAAATCAGTCCAAGATTGCTGTTTCGATGCAGTTGGGTTGACTGCGCTTTCCTTTCCCCAATTCCTAAATCTGCGGTCTCCTGGTTGCGCCCTTCCTGTTTCACCATCACGCGCGCCGCGGCACGTGCCCCGCAGGAACAAGGCGGCGGAGATGATGTACGGGTGGAACGAGGGCGAGGCGGTGGGGCGGCCGATCATGGAGGTGACGCCCGCGGACACGACAGTGCAGCAGGCAGAGGAAATATTCGGCGCGCTCAGCAAAGGGGAGGTGTGGACAGGCGAGTTCCTCGTCAGGCGCAGAGACGGCTCGCCCTTCCCCGCCATGGTGCGCGCTAACCTTCCCCGCCATATGATGCGCGCTACTCTTCCCCGCCTTGGTGCGCACTAATCTTCCGCGCGATGCTGCGCGCTACCTCTCACACTACCCAGCGTACCCTTCACTCCCCTCATCCGCGTCGCCTTTCCGATTTCCACCTCGCAGGTAACGGACACGCCGATTCTGGACCCGGTGGGGCAGCTGGTGGGGGTGATCGGCGTGTCGGCGGACATCAGCGACCTGAAGCGTAAGGAGGGCGAGATCCGCGCGCTCAACGCCGCGCTGGAGGAGCGCGTCGTGGAGCGCACGGAGCAGCTGCAGCGCAGTAACGAGGCGCTGCGGCGAGAGATTGAGGAGCACCTGCGCGCGAGGGAGCACCTGCAGCGATGCATCGAGGTGAGGGGCGGTCATGCTGCAAAGTCACTAAACCTTCGTCACTGTAGGAATCACAGACCACGAGAACCCCGCAGCTGCGTACCAATTTGCTTATCTGTGCTTCGCGTGTGCGCGCATGGCGGCAGGACTTGGAGCAATCTCGCAGCCGCATATCACAGCAGTCGGCGGTGCTGGAGCGCATGGTGGCGGAGCTGCGCGAGGCGCGCACGGAGGCGGAGTCCGCGAATCGCTTGAAGTCGCAGTTCCTGGCGTCTATGAGCCACGAGATCCGCACCCCCATGAACGGCGTGCTGGGTGAGATGCGCACTCCACGATTGAGTTTACCCCGACACGACCTGCTGCACGCACGATCACGGCCTTGCGCTCACGCGCTCTACACAAACTCTTGCTTTGCCTGCTCAGTTTCTAACCTGATCTGCCAAACACGCCCTTTTATGGTTTCCCCCAGGCATGACGCGGCTGCTGCTGTCGACGCCGCTGTCGGAGGAGCAGCACGGGTTCGTGGACACGATTCGCAGCAGCGGCGACGCGCTGCTGGCGATCATCAACGACATTCTGGATCTGAGCAAGATCGAGGCGGGCGAGCTGGAGATGGAGCACCGCGACTTCGACGTCACTGCGTGCGTCGAGGACAGCGTCAACCTGCTCGCGGTCAGTGCGAGCGAGCTCGAAAACTCCCTCTGCGCCTATGATGGCCTTCTGGACTCGTGACTGCGTCCAGTACTGCTGCTTATGCCGATTTAGCAGTCTGACGTTGAAATACTTTCTACGCAACTAGCGTAGGAAAGTCGGCGAAATCCCAAGCATGCGTATGACCCAGCTCTTGCGCGCTTCGAAGCCAGTTTGTTCTCAGGAGTTTTGGATAAGGTTGTTCGTGATCTCGGAGGTTCGTCAACGAATCCCATCGTCAAGCAACAACCATCGTCAGCGTATGACCCAGCTCCCGAATCCCCTCGATTCGGGAGGCCCCCAAGAAGTGTGGCTGGAGAATTGAATGTTTGCCCGCCTTCCGACGACTCATCTCCGAAGCATGTTTTCTAAGACCTAGAGAGTGCCTTGTACACTTCATGATGCCGCTCCTGTTTTACCCCAATTTTGACACTGAAATGAGATAATGCGTATTTGTCTGCTTGTTGTGAGCGCCAAATTCTCCAGACCCAGTTCATACTCATGAATGCATTCCCCTCTTCCCCCTCTCTCTTCCCCATGTGGTCGGCCATTCAGTTTGTCCAGCGTTTCCGTGCGCCATCACCACCACATCTGTGCTTCCATATATCCATATGCCCCTCTGATCTCTCTCCCCACCAGGTGCGAGCCATGGAGAAGCGCATAGAGCTGGTGAGCGAGGTGGACGAGAGCGTGCCGCGCGTGGTGAGGAGCGACGCCACGCGCCTGCGGCAGGTGCTCGTGAACATCGTGTCCAACGCCACCAAGTTCACCCACCACGGGGACGTGCACGTCTCCGTCACCGCTCACTGCCTCGGGGACCGCCCCGACTTGCTCCAGCCCGCTGCTGCCTGCACGCCAGCACAGGGAGAGGTCTCGGATGCCCGAGCAGACGGGCAGCAGGAGCAGCAGCAGGCGGGCCGCAGCAGTGGCAGCAGCAGCGGCGGGTGGGGCGGCCGGGGCCTGAGGGACACAGGGCGGGGCCTGGGGGCGGGCGAGGTGGAGCAGGCGCTATCTGCGGGGTACCGGTGGCACCGCGTGGTGGTGAGCGTGCGCGACACGGGCATCGGGATCTCCGCGGACCGCCACGACCGGCTGTTCAAGCCCTTCTCGCAGGTGGACGCGTCCACGACACGGCAGTATGGCGGCACGGGGCTGGGGCTGGCCATCTCGCAGCAGCTGGTGGAGCTCATGGGCGGCCGCATCTGGGCGGAGAGCGCCGGGCTGGGCCACGGCGCCACCTTCTCCTTCTACATCACCGCGCTCGCACTGCCCGTCCGCCCGCCCTGCATCCCGCGTGGGGTGTCTGTGGGGGGACCTGTGGGCTTGCCTATTGGGGGACGTATGGGGCGGGCTGTGGGGGCCATGGTGGATGCTGACCTCTCTGAGGCCATGCCTGACCAGCACGCACGTGAACCGGACTCCACCCCTCCCAAGCTGCTCTTTGGCCGTGCCGCCACGGCCAGCAGGGCCACCAGCATCAGCACCCACACGAACACGGACACGGACATGAGCAGCAGCGGCACGGGTGGGGAACAGTGGGGGCGCGACTCCTCAACCGCCCTCCGCCCCGCACGGCGCTTCGTCCGCAGTGCGTCCGTGCCCGCGCTCGGGCGGCCTCCCTGCGTGGCGGCGTGGCTCATCGACTCGGGCAAGCGCCGCCGCGTGGAGGGCGCGCTGGGGGAGGCGGGCGTGCGCGCACTGGGGGGCGCGCGGGGGGAGGGGGAGGTGGGCGCGCTGGAGGTGGGGCTGAGGCGGGTGGAGCTGGTGGGGGCGGGTGGCGCGGGTGGGGGAGAGCATGGCGCGTGGGTGGTGAGTGTGGCGCATGGGCAGGGAGGTGGAGTTGGCGCAGAGATGCTGCCACAGGCCACGGAGGACGGGCAGCAGCAGCAGCAGCAGCAGAGGCGGCGTAGTGTGGATTTCGTCTCCCAGGCTCATGTGCGTGCTTATGGGGATGCTGGCGGCAGCCAGCTGGCAGAGCCACCAGCGTGGGTGGCGGCGTGGAACGAGACAGCCGCCCGGTGCAGCGGGCGGCAGGTGATGGTGGTGGTGGCGCACGCAGCGACACGTGGCATGCTGACGAGGCACCTGCATGGGCTGGGCATGCGCGTGAGCGCGGTGGCCGGGGGGCACGAGGCTGACACGCTGCTGCTGGCGCAGAGGGTTGGGGGAGGTGGGGAGGAGCGGGGGGACAGCATGAAAGGGGATGGCAGAAGCGGGGAGACAGGTATGGGGGAGGTGGAGGGGGAACGGATGCGGGGAGGGCAAGAGAACGGGGAGCGGAGGGACGAGAGCATGGGAGAGGAGCAGCAAGGGTGCAGATGCGAGAGGCTGTGTGGGGGATTTGATTTGATTGTGGTGGATTCACGGCTGGAGTGGCTGCCAGCTCAGCACTGCAGCAGCAGGCAGGCGGGGGAGTGTGGCGGCGGGCAGTGCTGCAGCAGGCGGGGCGGCGAGGGCGAGAGAGGGGGCATGAAGGTGGTGCTGCTGACGCCCTACTCCGGCAACGTGCAGGTACGTCGCTCTTGCGCGCCTTCCGCTGTTTTCCTTTGAGGTATCCGTCTTGTGTTGCCCTCCTGCCACCCTCTCATTTCCATCTTTTTATCGTTCCCCATACTCTCCCCTCTCTCCCCACTCTCCCCTCTCCACCCTCTCCCCCTCTCCCCCTCTCCCCTTCTTCCCCTCTCCCCCTCTCCCCCTCCTCCCCTCTCCTCCACCCCTCCCCCTTCAACACCCCAGCTGCCCCACCTACCAGGAGTGCAGGTGGCGGCGCTGCCCCGACCAGTGCGCCAGATCGCCCTCAACCGCCTCCTCTCCGCGCTCTTCCCCCCGACACTACCCCGATTCCCATCCCGCCCCCCTCTTCCTGCCAACTCTGCCTCCTCCGAGCCTGCCACCCAACCTGTTGCCGAGCCTAGCAGCATGGTTGAAGAAGAGGCGCCAGAGGGGGAGTGCAGTGCGGGGAGAGAGGAACGGGGGGAGGGGGGAGGAGAGAGACGGAAGGGGTTGGGATTCGGAAGGGGAGAGGAGCAGGAGGGGAGTGGGCGGTGTTGTGAGGTATCTGATGGGAGTTGTCATGGGGGTGGAAAGGTTGCACGAAGGGGGGAGAGAGGAGAGCACGCAGGGGGTATGAGGAGAGGGAGAAGGGATATGGGGGATGCAGTGGAAGAGGATGCACATGGCGCAGCTAAGGGAGGGGCGGCTGGTGCAGTGAAGGGGGTGAGGCCAGGCGGAGCCAAGGCGGTGGCGGATGGGGCGGTGAGAGGGGCAGGTGGAGCAGGGAAGTGCGGAGCGGAGCGAGCGGGGTTCAGAGTGGGCCTGGCGGAGGCACACCCCCTCCGCATACTGCTTGCGTACGTGCCATGGGTGATGTGCTGCGGGGTGACGTGGGGTGGCATGGGGTGGGGCACGGGGTGGGGCACGGGGTGGGGCATGGGGTGGGGCATGGGGTGGGGCATGGGGTGCCATGGTGGCATTGGGTTGCGAGGGTGATGTGCGGTTGGCCTGGGTTGGCATGGCATAGCATGTCACTAGTGACAAGTCCTTTTTGTATACTTGATGCATGTGCCTGTGGCATGGCCCAACCTGCGAAGCAGTGCCCTGGCAGCAAGAGGTTGATGGCGGCACTTGCCAGTGCACTTCATTATTCCGCACCTCTGCTACTCCCTCTCCCTCCCTCCTCTCTCATCTCTCCCTCTCCCTCTCTTCCTCTCTCCTCTATCCTCTCCCTCTCTTCCTCTCTCCACTCTCCCTCTGCCTGTCGCCCCACAACCGGTGTGCGTGCATGGCATGCGAGCAGGGAGGACAACGTGGTGAATCAGAAGGTGGCAACCAAGATGCTGGCGCGCATGGGGTACGACTGCACCGTCGCCAACAACGGCCACGAGGCCATCCACCGCCTGCAGGCGCACCCCTTCGACCTTGTGCTCATGGACGTGCAGGTCAGTGGTTCAATGCGGTGCAGGTGTGCTCATGGACGTGCAGGTCAGTGGTTCAATGCGGTGCAGGTGTGCTCATGGACGTGCAGGTGAGTCCCTCAATGCGGTGCAGGTGTGCTCATGGACGTGCAGGTGAGTCGTTCAATGCGGTGCAGGTGTGCTCATGGACGTGCAGGTGAGTCGTTCAATGCGGTGCAGGTGTGCTCATGGACGTGCAGGTGAGTCGATCAATGCGGTGCAGGTGTGCTCATGGACGTGCAGGTGAGTCGCTCAATGCGGTGCAGGTGTGCTCATGGACGTGCAGGTGAGTCGTTCAATGCGGTGCTGGTGTGCTCATGGACGTGCAGGTGAGTCGATCAATGCGGTGCAGGTGTGCTCATGGACGTGCAGGTGAGTCGCTCAATGCGGTGCAGGTGTGCTCATGGACGTGCAGGTGAGTCGTTCAATGCGGTGCTGGTGTGCTCATGGACGTGCAGGTGAGTCGATCAATGCGGTGCAGGTGTGCTCATGGACGTGAAGGTGAGTCGTTCAATGCGGTGCAGGTGTGCTCATGGACGTGCAGGTGAGTCGTTCAATGCGGTGCAGGTGTGCTCATGGACGTGCAGGTGAGTCGTTCAATGCGGTGCAGGTGTGCTCTGCAGGTCGGTGACAGGGCATGCGCCTGTGTGCACTCACGCCTGTGGGTTTGCATGTATGTATGTATGTATCAATCATCGAGTGTGTGCACATGTATCTGCATGCATGGCCCCAAGCCATGTGACTTCCACCTCGTGCTTATACCTCGCTACCCACCTCCTTGCAGATGCCAGTGCGCATGGCAATATCAGGCACCTCAATTCAATCGTCCCATCGTCCTCCCCTCGTCCCCTGCCAGATGCCAGAGCTGGACGGCATAGAGGCCACGCGGCGCATCGTGGCGCACTGGCCGCTGTGGCGCCCCGCCTGCCCGCGCCCGCCCATCTTCGCCCTCACGGCCAACGTGCTGGAGACGGACCGCGTGCGGTGCCTGGCGGCGGGCATGGAGGGCTTTATTGCCAAGCCCATCCATGTCAACGACCTCATCCGCGCCGTTGAGTTCGGCAGTTCCCGCCGCCGCCAGCAGGAGCAGCAACAACAGCAGCAGGAGGGGAAGGAGCAGGGAGAGAGCTAAGGGAGCAGAGGATCCAGCAGCAGCAGCAGCAGCTGGAACGGCAGGCTGGCAGCAGCGGCAGCAGTGGCAGCAGCAACGATACACGCAAGCAGAGTGATGACGGCCATTGGGGCAGGGCCTATCGTCCATCTCACGGCCAACGTGTTGGACACACACCGCGTGCGGTGCATGACAGGCAGCGCGCATGGAGGGTCTCATTGCCCAGCCCATCCATGTCAACGACCTCTTCAGAGCTGTTGAGTTGTGCAGTGCAGGCTGCTGCCAGCAGGAGCAGCAGTGCAGGGATGTCACAGCAGCAGCAGCAGCAGTAGCAGCAAGAGCAGCGGCAGCAGGAGCAGCAGCAGCAGCAGTAGCATTGGGAGCTGCGGCAGCAGGCTGAGGAAGCAGAGATGCACCAGCAGTGACCCCGGGGCCGGCAGCAGGCGCTGCCAGCATCCCCACCAGCACTGCCCCAGCAGCAGCGGGTGCAGCAGTGTGTGGTGTGGAGCATCCACAGCGACCACCACGCTGTGACGCTTGAGAGCTCGCTGCTTGAGCTCACAGTGAGCCTGTGCCGAATACAATTCGATTTGCTATGCTTGTGTATTGCTTTGTTTAGCCCATATGTCCCTAAATTTGTATTCTTGTAACCTTGTGTTGTGCTGGTTGGACTATTTTCCACCATATTTGCATAAACCCTGAATGTATAGAGCATGGATGACGAGCGAGAACAGGTATGCATCTTCATCACTGCGACATGGAAGTTACAAGCAAGGTCATGGAGGATGGTTAGGTGCCCACTACCCAGCCCACCCTGCTGCCACTCATGCGCACATGGCATGGTATGGTATGGTGTGGCGTGGTGTGGCAATTAGAAAATGAAGCTGTCATCGTCCTCCTCCATGCCCATCCCCATCCCCACATGCATCCCACACTGCATGCCCATGCACTCACCCCTGCCCCCACCATCGTTCATGCCCATGCTCATGCCCATGCCACTGCCCTCGCCACCACCCCCCCTGCTCTCCCTCTCCTGCCCATGCATCCCGCCTTGCGCCTCTCGAGCCTCGCGCCCTGCCCCCTCGGTCCGCGCCCCCTCGCCCCCTGCGCCCTGAGCGGAGTGCGCGTGCAGCAGTGTGCAGGGCAGGGCGGCCGGGGAGAAGAAGGAGTGCAGCAGTCGCTGGCGGATGCCATGCCTTGGCGCGTGCACCGCGCTCTGAGGGGGGGCAGGGAGGGGCAAGGGGGGGATGGGGGGAAGTGAGGCGCGGCTTGCAGCTGCACGGTGCATGGCTTGGGAGTGCATGGCGCTTTCGAAGGGGTGCAGTGAGGGACGGTGGGGAGTGGGGGGAAAGGGGAATGAGAAGAGGCTGTAGCAATTGCGTGTGGATGAAGCTGTATGTTGAGGCGTGGCATTTGGGTGAGGGGAGGGGGACGGGAGGGACGAGGGGAGGGGAGAGAGGATGGGAGGACGGAAGAGAGCAAGAAACACTCAATATGGTCCATTAGAGAACGGACATGCATGGTACGGACCAGCATGACCCAGCATGGTCACGGCATGGCATGGTACAGGATGTGACAGCTCAGCTCACCCTCTGGGTTGTCTGCCACTCGTCTGCCAGCCTGTCAATCGCCGGTGCCACATCATCGCTGAGCTGGCGCTCCACTCGCAGCCGCTCGTCCACGAGAGCCTTGGGAACGGGCGGAGGTGGGGAGGGTGACGTGGCAAGGGGGGGATATTTGGGGTGATGGTGCATATGGAGGTAGGAAGGGGAGCAGCAGAGGAGGATGCAAGGGCACACAGTGCGCGTTTCCATCTGCCCTCGCAGAGAAACTCAAGGGCAAGCGAGGGGCATGGGAGCAGCGAGGAGGGCTCCAATTTAAACGATAGTTGGGGGTTTGGGGGGGACAGAGGCCCACAGGGGGGTGCTGCAGAGTCTCACAGAGTGCTGCAGAGTCTCACAGGGGGGTGCTGCAGAGTCTCACAGAGTGCTGCAGAGTCTCACAGAGTGCTGCAGAGTCTCACAGAGTGCTGCAGAGTCTCACAGAGTGCTGCAGAGTCTCACAGAGTGCTGCAGAGTCTCACAGAGTGCTGCAGAGACTTACAGGGGGCGAGAGGTGCAGCGGCATGGCATGAGCGGCGGTGGAGGAGGGAGTGGCATGCGGCGATGAGAGCAGCTCCACCATGGCCGCCTGCATGCCCGCCCTGTGTCACCCGCGGGGCGCACAGGGCGGCAGAGGCCCGTGGGAAGAGACGGGAGGGAAGAAACTGAAGGGCAGAGGTGGGTGCAGAACGAAAGATGAGACGAACCGACGGTGCAGCAATTGAGATGGAAATCGATTGGGTACCACCTCCCACCACTGTAACCCCTCACAATCCCTCTCTGCCAGCGCCACTCACATGTGTGCCAGCAGCCGCTCACTCTGCTCCACCCCCTGCTGCACCCGCTCCCCCTCCCCCTGCGCCCTCCCCCTCAGCCCCTCCACCAGCCGCTCCACCACCTCCCCCCCACTCTCCCCCTCCCTTCCCCCTGCTGCCTGCGCGACTCCCCCCCCTGCTGCCCCGAGTGGCTCCCCTTGAGCAGCGGGGGGGGAGAGGGCGGAGAGCAGGGCGGGCCACAGGGGGGAGGAGGCTGGGAGGGGGAGGGAGGAGGAGGGGGGCGGGAACTGGGAGGAGGAGAAGGATGTTGGGGCGGTGGGGGCAGTGGGGGCAGTGGCTTGTGAGGCAAGAGCTTTGTAAGCCGCCTGCAGGGGCATGGGGTGGAGAGGGGTGGGTGGGGAGGAGGGAGGAGGGGGTGAATGAGCAGAGTTGCAGGGGGTGAAACGGTGGGAGAGGGAGGGAATGAGAAAACAACATGGCATCCAACCGTTCTTAAACTGTGCAGCATACGTATCATGGTACCCCCCCTGCTCCCCCTCTGCTTCGCACTCACACGCCCCTCGCAAGAACACTCACCTTGCGGGTTTCAGAGTCGCTGATAGCTGCTGACGTGTCGCAATGTAATTGGAGCAGCAGCTGCCAGGTGCGCTCCAGGTGGTGCGCGTCCAATAGGACGGCTCCATGCAGTGCCACGTTGACAGCCAGCTGCCAGTACTGCTGAGTCAGCAGCTGCAAGCCACGTGGATGCAGTGAGATTAGGTGGGCGGGGAAAGAGATGAGTGAGCGGTGATACAAGTAATAAATGCAAGACAGAACCGTCTTCTTTCATTGTACGTCAAATCATGTTCTTTCCTACTTGTTGCGTCACTGCCACGCCCTTTGCCCCAGTCAGCAATCTTTCACGTGTTCCGGTGCCCCCGTGCATCTCTGTCACAGCCCAGCAGCACCTGGTGCATCTTGGCGAGGTAGAAGCGCTGCCTCTGCATCTTGAGCTCGTAGTCTCCTGCGCGGGTGGGCGGGTGGGTGGGGGGAACATGGGTGAGCGGCAGGGAGGAGTGAGGGGTGCATAATAAAGGGGGCGGCGGCAGCTGAGGGGCAAGCAAGCAGCAATGCATCACAGCAGTACTGGCACTTGCGAATAACCCTCGCACAGTGAGAGGCGGTGCCATGGGGAGAGGCAGAGAGCAGGTGGGCAAGGGCAGTGGGCGGCAGTGGCGTAGAGGACGGTGGCAGGAGGTGCGGATGGGCAGAGGGGGGCAGTGGCGGGTAGCAGGGGCAGTGGCGGGTAGCAGGGGCAGTGCATGGTGGCGAGGGGTGGGTGGCATTACCAGCGTACACCATGGCGTCTTGTAGGCGTGCCTTCTCCTTGCACAGCTTGCTCACCTGCATGCATGCACCATGCCATGCCATGCCATGCCATGCCATGCAATGCCATGCCATGCCATGCATTGCCACGTGGTGCCATGCCATGAGAAGAGGGTGCACGTGAGGAGTATTGAGAGAGCGCAAGCAGCAAGCAGCAAGCAGCAAGCAGCAAGCAGCAAGCAGCACGCAGCAAGCAGCAAGCAGCAAGCAGCAAGCAGCAAGCAGCAAGCAGCAAGCAGCAAGCAGCACGCAGCAAGCAGCAAGCAGCAAGCAGCAAGCAGCAAGCATGAGCACATGTTAACTATCTTCCCACACCCTCTTCCTCCCATCCCCTTACTTACCCCCTCTCTTTCACAGATCTCTCCCCAAGACTGATTTCCCCAACTCCTCCCTTCCCCCTCCCCATCTCCCCCCCCATCTCACCACGCCTCTGGCACGTGCCACCTCTGCCCGCACCTCCTCCAGCCGCCTCCTCCGCCTCCTCTCCTCCGCCCCCCCCGCCCCCCCCTGCCCCGCACCCCCTGCCGTTCCCTTGCTGCTGCCGCCACTGCTGCTGCTGCCATGGGCGGAGGGGAGAGAAGGGGGCGGAGGGGAGAGAAGGGGGCGGAAGAGAGTCAAGGAGGCAAGCAATGGGAGGGGAGTGGAGTGAGAGGAGGGAAGAGGGAGGGGGTGTGGGGTTATAGAAAAGCGAGTGGGATGAGACGAGAGAATGTACATGCACATGCAACCATACACACATGCAGGCACCCTTTCACACCATGCCCAAACCCCGCCGTTCCCTGAACGTCCCTCACCACCCATCCCAAGCACCCGCCTCCCCCCGTCCACCCATCCCCCAGCGCTCTCCCCATCCCCCAGCGCTCTCCCCATCCCCCAGCGCTCTCCCCATCCCCCAGCGCTCTCCCCATCCCCCAGCGCTCTCCCCAGGTCGTGTGCCGCTCTCCCCAGGTCGTGTGCCGCTCTCCCCAGGTCGTGTGCCGCTCTCACCTCTGCCCCCCCCATTGACTCACCTGCCCAGCGCCCTCCCCCCATTGACTCACCTGCCCAGCGCCCTCCCCCTGGCGGTCCAGCGAGCCTCGTCCACCATGGCTGCCACGTAACGCTGCTCCGCCTCCCCCGCCCTGTTGGGCATGACAGCGACGGGGACGGTAGGTGGATGAGCAAGGGGTTGAAAGGACGGGGAGCAAGGGGACAGGCAAGAGAGTATAGTCGAGGAAGGGGTAGGAGGGAGAGAGAGAAAGATACAAATCATCCCTTGAAGTTCATTGAACATCATGAAATGACATGACATGACATGACATGAGATGACATCACATACATGACATGACATGACATCGCATCACATCATGTCACATCACATCACATCACATCACATCACATCACATCACATCACATCACATCACATCACATTACGTCACATCACATCACGTCACAACACATCACGACACATCACATCACGTCACAACACATCACGACACATCACATCACGTCACAACACATCACGACACATCACATCACGACACGCCATCCATGACATCACATGGCATGCTGGCACCCACAGGTCATGCACGTGTTTGAGCTCCCTGATGTTGCACCGATAGATGGCGTCTGTGGGACGGGCAGTGGGCGGCGCCAGATGGGAGAAGAAGGGGAATGGTGGGTGGTGGTGGGAGGGAGCGAGGCCTAGTGCGGGATCAAACGAGAGACACCCTTTGGTCAAATGAGCGAGCTGAGACTGTGACACGCCAGAGCCAGGAATGCGAGAGGCACTGTGCATGCGCATGATTGCATTGCACCTCAGGCAAGCAGCAGCAGCAGGGGCTGAGCACCAGACAGAACTCCCTCTCTCGGGAAGGCAGGGCCAGCAGCAGCAGGGGCTCACCTGGCGTGTCGATGGAAGCCCCATGGTCCCCCGCAATGACGGCAGCATCCAGGTCGTTGAGGTCACACGGCGAGTACAAACCCAACCCCTCCAACGCCACCGCCCGGGACGGCCCCTGTATAGCCACTCCCACGCCACGAGGGATAAAGGGAAGGATGACGCATATGAGGCAGATGATTTCGAGTTGAGTGGACTCGGCAAAAAGAGTGAAACAGGGAATAGCTGAGGGTTCACGCGCGAAGCATGCTGTGCTGCCTCCCCTCACTCATCCACCCCCCTAGCCTCACCTCCCCTCATTTCCCGGCTCGCATACCACCCATTTCCCCTCGCTATGCCCACCACCCACCGCATCATACTGCCGTCGCTCCCACACTTGGTGATGCAGCACCGGCCCCTCATGCGCCTAAAGAGGCCGTTCATTCTCCCCCATCGCCCGCCACCTCTCGCATCGCATCCAGACCCCTCCCTGTGTCCAGCGCCCACCACGCACCTCATCGAACTGGCGTCGCTTCCACACCTCGTGCTGCAGCGCCACCTCCTCCTGCGCCTCCAGCAGCGGCTCCACCCCCGCCACCATCGCCAGTGATCCCGGGCCTGTTGTGGGTGACGAGGGATGCACGGAGAGGGTAGCAACAGCGCTGCAGTCCCAGAGCACAAGGAAAAGACACTAGCCCAGGGATGTGGATCAAGAGAGGGGACTACTGGATGGTTACGGGAGTGGGGCTGTCCTAGAGGACGTGATCTACACGCGAGGGGGAGAGGAGGGGCGACTCACGCGCGGGGGAGAGGAAGGCGGCGATGGCGGCGGCATGGGCGGCCATGGCGTCGAGCTGCGCATTCACCTGCCGGCGGAGGAAATCAAGGAACACTGCTGCGAGGGGTGAGGACTAGGCAAGACGCCAGTTGCAACGAGACACGCGCGAGCACGAGCTCACGCGGATTCTCATCGGCGCAACGGTGCTGCTCGACTGACGCGGACCGTCACCTGTCGCAGTTTGAGCGAATCTAACGAGCGTTGACATCTTAACACGCGTGCGAATCACACCTGCGCGTTGAGCGCGGGGAATCGATCGCGCAGCAGATGCTGGTGCGCGTCTTCGGCGGACCTGAGCGCCGCTGCGCTCGTCTCCTTCCTGCGCGACGCGGCCGTCACGGCTTCCCGCAGCATCTGCTCCTGCTGCCGCAGCTGCTTCGTCCGCCGCTCGATCGACGGCAGCAACACCTCGGGATCGTCCATTTTGGAGACAAAGAACCGTGCAACGGAAATCGCTAGAGAAGACGTAAGATTCTTGATTAAAAAATAAATACAAGAGGGGAGGATCAAATCGTACTCCCATCCATGCTGTTCATTTGGGGTCCTCCTCACTCTTCGCACACTATCGGTTTGAAACGTTACAGACCGAGCACAAACGTGACACACTACAGAAAGGAAATAGATCTGCTCGCTAGCATGCTCGCCAGCTATTCGTCGAGCTTTGGTTTCCAGCTGAAGCTGTCGCGAATGCAAAATAACCTCGCGGCACGCCCCCGCGTTCTGCACAACCTCCGAACCAAATCACGAAACCAGCTCCCATACCAAGCCAGTATGCTTCCGCAACTGTGAAGATCGCTCTGCCTGCAGCGTCCGTGGCACCCTCGATTTTTATCCCGCCCGCCGCATTGTGGAAAGCGTTTTCTCCACCACTGAGAATTTTCTTCCGAGCCACCCGCGCGTTCCAGACTAGGGCTCCCTCCCTGACCCATACCGAAAACGAAGCACCAAAATATGGCATTCTCCGAACCAGATTTGCTTCCGCGGCAGCTTTCTTCCCCGAATCCGCCAGAGTCTCCCCGCCCGCGTCAGAACCACCTAGAGAGCTCCATTCCATTTCCTACAACCAGGATTCATTGGCCTTGAGAAATCCGTTTTTCGGAATCTCCACATTAATAGCTACCCACACATTTGTCCATCCATTTCTCTTGACGTCTCAAAAACTACATTTTCACACCAGTCTGCCTGCTTACGTTCTTCGGTTTTCCGCATTGCGCGCATCCGCGGTGTCGCGTGCCCCAACAGCGAATGGCGATGTCGATGGACGTCCTCGTCGCGCGCCTCGAAGCGGCAGTCGCCCGCCTCGAGGCCTCGCTTCCCTCCCAATCCTCCACCGCCACGTCAGCTCCCGCCGCGTCCGCGTCTGCAGCGGCCAGCGATCACCCGTCAGTGGTTGCGTTCGACGCGATCCTGACGGCGAATCTGCAAAAAGTGACGGCGGCCGCTGAGAAGGTCGGCAGCGCGGAAGTGACTGCGGCGACCAAGGCGCTGGCGGAAGCGTTCGAGGCGGAGAAGAAGATCGTCGCGGCCATCGCGGCCTGCAAGGTGGGGGCTTTGCTTTGGTTGTTCCGTCGTTCGGTGCCTGTGTCTGTTTCGCGCGGCGCGCGTCTGCATTCGTGCATGATCTCCATGGATCTGGACCGGATCCGGAGGACGATAGGAATGTGACACTCGTGGAAATATGCTGGCCTTCCGTCCCGTGCCCAGAACTGAGAGCAGTGCTTTCCGCAAATGACTCACATCACCGGACTCCCCCAGAAACCCCTTCCAGAAAAAAACCGATCATCCCGCATTCCGTTTCCTCCACCACTTCCGGTCAGCATTTTTTACCCTCTATGTTTCCCCCATCATGGGTCCCCCTACCCCACCCCATCTCCCCCATTCTTTCTCCTTCTCACCCCCCACCTCCCCCATTCTGCCGCTCGCCCTATCCAGAAGCCCGACACGTCAGCGCTGCCGAAGCTGCTGGAGCCGCTGGGAGCGGCGATGGCGGCGGCGGGGAAGCTGACGGAGGGGAAGCGCACGGACGCGTACAACCACGTGAAGGCCGTCGCCGAGAGCGTCGCCGCGCTCACGTGGGTCGCTTACTCCGGCAAGGACTGCGGTACGAAGGAGGAGGGTTGACGCCTGGGGTACGGGGGCGCGCGGAAAGGGGGAAGAGGGACGAGGGGGAAATGCGGTATGGGCGGAGGGCAAAAACTGCGTTACGGGGGCAGTGTTGAGTGTTGGTGGGTGTGTGTGTGGGGGAGAGGGAGGGGGAAGGAAAGGGAGAGGAGTATGGTATGGAGGGAGGGCAAGGACTGTGGTACGGGGAGAGGGAGGAAGGGAGAGGGGGTATGGGGAAGGAGTGTGGTAGGGGGAAGGGGGGAGAGAAGTCGGCGCACTCTGGGTTTAGGGTGACGCACCACTTGTCATGGTGACTCGCCATTCGTTGTGCGCCGATTTTCGCCTGTTGACAGTCGAACGACATGCGCTCTCATGGGCTCTCATGGGCTCTCATGGGCTACTGCGCGCCCACTGCCCGCCCTCATGCTGTTCCGCGTTGCCCGCCCCACGAGCTGTTCCCCACGTCCCGCCATCGTGCCTCCTTGCCTCCCGATCCTCACCCACTCCTCCCTCGCGCCTCCTCGTTCCTCTCTGCTTCCATCCCTCCGCCATCTCCCATTCCCTGTCCCCCTTCCGCCCTCCGCCATCCCCCTCCCGCCACCCGCCATTCCCCCTCCCTCCACCCGCCATTCCCCCTCCCTCCACCCGCCATTCCCCCTCCGCCAGGCATGAGTCTCCCCGGGCCACACATTGACGAGACCTGGCCTGCTGCCGAGTTCTACACCAATAAGGTGCTGCCACGTCCTGCTGCTACACACACCTTCTTCTTCTCGTCTCCGTTTACTTTGCTCTCCCTTCGTTCCTCCTCCTTCCGTTCCCCACCCCTCGTCGTCTCCCCTCCCGCCGTCTGCATCTCACACTTCCCCACCCCTTTTTCCCTCCCCCCACTCTTCCCCCTCCCACTCCGCTTTTTCACTAATGCCTCTCCGTCTCCTCTCCCGACCACATCTCAACGCTTCTCTCGACCTTCGTCCCTCCTTATCATAGTATCCTTTCCCCTCCCTTTCCCTCTCCCCCTCCTCCTTCCCCTCTCCCTCCCCCCCACTTGCTCCCCTTCCCCTCCTCCTTCCCCTCTCCCTCCCCCCCACTTGCTCCCCTTCCCCTCCCCTTCCCCTCCCCTTCCCCTCCCCTTCCCCTCTCCCTCCGCCAGATCCTCTCCACGTATCGCAACACGGAGGGGGGAGAAGCGCACGTGGAGTGGGCGAGGGCGCTAAAGGAGCTGTACATGGTGGGATTAAAGGAGTACATTAAGAAGTTCCACCTCACCGGGCCCTCCTGGTCCGCCTCAGGCCTCGACCTCCCCGCCTACCTCTCCTCCGCCCCCTCCGCCGCCCCAGCTCCACCCCGCGGAGGACCCCCGCCGCCTCCGCGCGGGGCCCCTCCCCCGCCTCCGCCCCCGGCTGCGTCAGCGGGCGGAGGGGGCGGAGGGGGCGGGGGCGCGGACATGTCGAAAGTGTTTTCCGAGCTGAACAAGGGCGAGGCCGTCACTGCAGGTGAGCTCAACAAGGGCGAGGCCGTCACTGCAGGTGAAGGGCCGGGGAGCAGGTGAGGGGGTGGGGAGCAGGTGAGGGGGTGGGGAGCAGGTGAGGGGGTGGGGAGCAGGTGAGGGGGTGGGGGCGCGGACATGTCGAAAGTGTTTTCCGAGCTCAACAAGGGCGAGGCCGTCACTGCAGGTGAGGGATGGCAGGTGAGGGGCCGTTACTGCAGGTGAGGGACGGCAGGTGAGGGGCCGTTACTGCAGGTGAGGGACGGCAGGTGAGGGGCCGTTACTGCAGGTGAGGGACGGCAGGATGGGGAGAGAGGTGGTGGGGGGTGAGGGAGCGGAAGATGGAGATGCGGATGAACAATGGACGTCGGGACAAAATAACTTGACAGATTGGGTGGGAAAATGGAGAAATGGGCACACGGATGGACGGGAAGATGTGAGCAGAGTTGTGGCAGGAGACAGGTGAGGTGAAGACAAGTAACCACTCGGACTGCTCACGAGATGCATATGCCTGCCTTCCTTCCTCTCCCCGTCACCCGCCCCATGCAGGGCTGCGCAAGGTCACAGCAGACATGAAGACCAAGAACCGCACCGACCGCTCGGGGGCCGTGCCTGCCAGCATAGGCGGTAGCAAGGCCACGTCAGCAGGCGCCTCCGCTGCTGCCAAGCCAGCTGTGGTGAAGCCTCCCAAGTTCGAGCTGCAGCAAGGCCGCAAGTGAGCATGCGCATGGGGGCGCCAGTGAGCATGGTTGAGTTGGGTGCAAGTGAGCACAGGCAATGCGTGTGCTGTCCATTCTGCATGCCTGCTGTACGTGTGGGCATGGGCATGGGCATGGCAGGTGGGTGGTGGGGAACAGGGTGGACAACAAGGACGTGGTGATAACATACGATTGCACTGACAGGGGATGCTTGTGGTCTTGCCAGTGCTGGCCTGCTCTCTGCCTGCCTCTAACCATCGCATCTTGCTCTAAAAATGCGTGTTGCGCTGCATGTGTGCGTGGCTGTGCGCGTGAGCGGGGGGCAGGTGGGTGGTGGAGAACCAGGTGGACAACAAGGAGGTGGTCATCACGGACACGGAGCCCAAGCAGACCGTCTACATCTTCGGCTGCAAGGGCACCGTCGTGCAGGTCAAAGGTGAGTGAGGCCAGGCGACCCTAGGGTGAGGCCAGGCGACCCTAGGGTGAGGGGCGTGCAGAATGAGCATGGCTTCTCACCCTGGTGCACAACAACTCCTGATGCAGCCCCTTAGTCAAGTTTCTCTTGCTCGCATCTGCCATCTTTACCCATCTCCTCCACCCATCTCCACCCATTTCCTCCACCCGTCTACACACGAGTGCTCATGTATTCATGTGCTCATCCGCCCCGGCATTATCTCTCGATCCACCCGTTTTCCACCACACTCAGTCCTACACCTTTTGCCCCCCTCCCCCATGCCCCCTCTACCCCATGCCCCTCTCCCCCATGCCCCCTCTCCCCCATGCCCCCTCTCCCCCATGCCCCCTCTCCCCCATGCCCCCTCTCCCCCATGCCCCCTCTCCCCCATGCCCCCTCTCCCCCATGCCCCCTCCCCCCATGCCCCCTCCCCCCATGCCCCCTCCCCCCATGCCCCCTCTCGCCCGTAACCCCTCTTCCCATGCCCCCTGTCCCCCATGCCATGGCACCCATGCGCGTGCCACCAGGCAAGGTGAACAACATCACGCTAGACAAGTGCACCAAGACCGCTGTCGTCTTCCAGGTGAGGCTCAGGTGGGCTCAGGTGGGCTTCAGATGGGGCTCAGGTGGGCTTCAGATGGGGCTCAGGTGGGGTCAGGCAGTGCCCAGATGGGCGTAGGTGAGCTGTGATGGTCGCATGTAAGGCTCAGATGGGCTCAGGTGCGGCCACTGGTGTTAGTGGAGGCCTTTTCCAGTGATGAGTTGGTGCGCGATCCTTTGTACGGCAGCTTCTGCTTGGCTAATGCTTCTCCCGTTGAATCAACCCTCATGTGTGCTGGCAGCGTGTGACCTGGTCACTTGCGGTGTGCTGGCAGCGTGTGACCTGGTCACTTGCGGTGTGCTGGCAGCGTGTGACCTGGTCACTTGCGGTGTGCTGGCAGCGTGTGACCTGGTCACTTGCGGTGTGCTGGCAGCGTGTGACCTGGTCACTTGCGGTGTGCTGGCAGCGTGTGACCTGGTCACTTGCGGTGTGCTGGCAGCGTGTGACCTGGTCACTTGCGGTGTGCTGGCAGCGTGTGACCTGGTCACTTGTGGTGTGCTGGCAGCGTGTGACCTGGTCACTTGCGGTGGCGTGCGGATACAGTGTCACATCTCCACCTTTGTTCCACCCTTCCCTGCTGCCTCTATCGCTCGTCCCTCGCCCCCATCACACACATCTTTTTCCTCCCTGATCCCCCACAAGGGCGTGCTAGCTGCGTGTGACCTGGTCAACTTCACTCGCGTGGAGGTGCAGTGCCAGGGCTCTGCCTCAATGCCCTTCCTGCCCATATCGCTCATCTCCCAGCCTCCTCCCTCCCTCCTCCCTCCCTCGCTCCCTCGCCCCGCCCCTATCCCCCATCAGGACGTGCTGGCGGCGTGTGAGGTGGTGAACTGCAGTGGCGTGGAGATCCAGTGCGAGGGCACGGCGCCCACGCTGGCAGTGGACAACACGAGCGGCTGCCAGCTGTACCTCGCTGCCACGGCGCTGGCCGCCGCCATCACCACGGCCAAGTCGTCCGAGATCAACGTGCTCGTGCCCGGCCCCGATGCTGAGACTCCCTGGGTAGGCAGGGATGGGGCGGACAAGTGGGTAGGGGTGGTGAAGGACAAGTGGGTAGGGGTGGTGAAGGACAAGTGGGTAGGGGTGGTGAAGGACAAGTGGGTAGGGGTGGTGAAGGACAAGTGGGTAGGGGTGGTGAAGGACAAGTGGGTAGGGGTGGTGAAGGACAAGTGGGTAGGGGTGGTGAAGGACAAGTGGGTAGGGGTGGTGAAGGACAAGTGGGTAGGGGTGGTGAAGGACAAGTGGGTAGGGGTGGTGAAGGACAAGTGGGTAGGGGTGGTGAGGGACATGGGTAGGGTGGTGACGCGAATCAGGAGGATTGCTGGCAGCGGCGATCACGACCGTCAAGTCATCGGAGATCAACATGCTCGTGCCCGGGCTTGATGCTGAGACTCCCTGGGTAGGATATGAGGGAGGGGAGGTGGGGGTGTGGAAAAATGTGTAGGGGTGGTGAGGGAAATAGGGGATGGTGGAGGAAATGGGAGGAAGAGTGCGGAAATGGTTGGGGAAGTGTGGAATGGGAGTGTGGCAGGATGGGGGGGAGTGTGGCAGGATGGGGGGAGTGTTCCCTCGTACCCTCCTGGCAGCCAGAACGAGCTCAAGAACGTGCTTGGGCACCACACCCATGCGCCCCTCACCACAGAACGAACCACAGCCTGTGTTGCAACCCTTTCCCTCTCATGTCCCCTCCCACATTCCCTCTAGACCCTCTTGGCTGGCAGGTGTAGCATGCCCCTCGAGAGCAGTCTGGGAGTGAGCTCAAACATGTGCTTCGCTCACCACACCCATGCCCCTCACAGCAGAGAGTGAGTCACATGCAGCATGCTGCATCGCTAACCACCTCTCCTCCCCTCTCTCCCCTCCCCTCACGACCTTCCTGCCAGGTGGAGCATGCGCTACCGGAGCAGTTTGTGAGTGAGCTCAAGAACGGCACCTTTGTCACCACACCCATCTCCCACTCCGGAGGCTGAGTGCCTGCCAGATTAGGGGCTTGCCTTGGGGTGGCTGTTGCCTGTCTCGCATTGAGATGGTATGAACTACTCATCTTGAGTCATAGGTTACAATGGTAGTGACAACTTCACACATCTTCACAACAGGCTCTAGAACTCCTCAAGTGCACTGTGTAGGAGGCAAGTCCTTGCACATTTGACAAAACAAATATGCAAGACCCTCTCATATATGTATTAGCCAAACCAGAGTTAGGAAGCCTAAGGGCTTTAGTCACATCACACCAGGCACTAGTGCATCCCTTGCAAGCTATCTCACAACCACCCTGCGAGTCGTCTCTGCACCATACTATACACAAGCCATAAACAGCCATTATACAAGAGAAAAAAACTAACAGTAACCAAATCACATTGCCATGAGCTGTTGCTGTTGTTCTTGCTGCTGCTGCATGTTCCCTTCTTGAGGCACTTGCACTTGCTGCTGCTGCTGTTGCTGCTGCTGTTGTTGCTGCTGTTGCTGTTGTTGTTGCTGCTGCTGCTGCTGCTGCTCACCCCCACCCATGTGCTGCCCTGCTCCACCACCGCCCATGCCCATGGCATGGTTGGCAACGAGCGTCTCAACGTAGTCTGCCAGCACCTGCTCATACAGCTTGCGCAGCCGCTCCAGCGCCCGCTCCTTCTCCTTCTCCGTTGCACCGTCCAGATGAAACGTCTCCGCTATGAAGCGCTGGAAGCCATTGATCTGCTCAAACTGCATGAAGCAAGAGGGTGGACGATAAACGACTGCATATCAATAACCAGGAATGGAAAACAAGCAAGGAAACATCCACCTCGCAGAGTTGACATTTCTTCTATCAAACAAGGCAGGCAGACATGTACTGACCTGTTCCTTGCCGCCGGCCGCAAAGGCGATGCGGCAGAGCAGCGGGATGTCGACCTTGTGGCCCACGACCTGGGGCTTGCCGGTGGGCACGGGCTTGTTGTTGGTGCGCAGGTACTCGTACACCGCGCGCGTTGAGAACTTGGCGTCCGGCCCTATGGGGTCCATGAACGTGTCTGCTGCAAAGGGGGGAAAGGGGGGTGGTTGAGGGGCAGGGTAACGGTCGTTGCCAGGAAGAAGATCGGGCCATTTTCAATATGAGTGCAAATGCATGGCCCATGGGAGTGAAGTGTGAAGAGCCATAGAGACACAGGTGACGACTGGCCTTGCGGCTGAAGTTATCTAAAGATACACTCGCAAACAGGCAACTCACCTTGGACACGCTTAGGAGTGGTGCCGACTTCAATGCCCATGGGCTCCGACAGCTGGCGCTCGGACCAGCCGGGCTCGTAGGCCTCAAGGAAGGCCTGCTTGGCGCGGTTGGGCAGGTCGTGCGGATGCACAAAGGGCACGTTGGCTGGCCACCCCAGCTGCAGCCGCAGGTACGAGCATGGCGGCTCTTCCATCGCCATGTGCTGCTCCTCACACTCCTGGTGGAGGAGGATGGGCAGAGACAGGAGATGGAATGAGATGAAACACACTGACCAAACCCCCTGGTTGATGTCAATCGCAGTACAGCTGATGAACCAGCATTCCAGCCTGTACGAGAATGCGACAAGGTAATGCATTCTCTCATCCTTGAAGCAGAGCGAAGTGGCCGGCAGGCAGACCTTGAGGTTACAGAATCGGATCTTGATGCCCTTGGCGTCCGCCAGGTCCTGCACCTTCTCCTTGAGCACGCGCTGTGCCTCCATGCGCAGCCGCTTTGACGGCGCCAGCGACCGCCCGTCGCTGCCCATGATACGGTGCTTCTTGCGTCTCCGCACGTTTGGTGACCCTGCCAGGCACACAGAAGACACCAGTAAGCAAAGTCAATGAAAAGGGGTACAATAAAGAAAAACACAGGGTACAGGAGGAGAAACAGGTGCGCATCAGGTAAAGAAAGACACACACTGCCGCAATGGGGGAAAGATGGGAGAGGACATGCTTGGTGCACGCACCTGGTTCGACCATGGGCATGGCGGCGCCCATGCCCATGGGGCGCAGCAGCCCGTTGTACGACGCAGCAGCGATCTGGTCGATGGGGTGCTGCCGCAGCATGAAGTCCTGCACCGCCACCGGCTGCTGGAACGGCCCCGCGATCGCGTGCCCGGACGCAGCCATGGCGGAGCAGTGGATGATGGAGGAGGCGCGCGGCAGCAGGCGGAAGAACACGGACGCGCGCCCCTCCGGCACCTGCATGCCCACCGACGCGCTCGCCAGGTCCGTCTTGTACAGCGCTGGGCTCACGTACCCGCCTGTGGCCTGCCACGGGGGGGTCGCCAGGCGGAGGACGAGATGAAGACAACGCACGCCACCCACACGCGATACCTACCACGGACAGAAACGACAAGAACGTGACGTGAAAGGGTGACGCTGATGGAAGCGTGGGTTGATAATGTACCTGATATAGAGTCAAGCCGGTAATGAGTATAAGGTCGTTGGGGCCGAGGTTGGCGTCTGCTAGGAGCCATTGGTTCTGCGGGTCGCGGATGTACAGCCCAGGGCGGTCCGACTTGATCAATGTCACCAATCCCTTCTCCGCTCGCGCCTCGGCATCCTCCGGAGGGATGAGGAGAGGATCCTTGTCGTCCATTGCCGGGTCCATCATCGTCTCGCTGCTCATCCAACCGTCACCACGTCAGAATGGATCGAGAGAGGTGACACAAGCACGGGCATTGACGACAATAACGTCGACAAAAAAAGGGGTACGGATGAAACATTGTGGGGGGAATGGGGGGGAGGGGGAGGAGGGGGGTGGGGAGGGGAAGAGGGGCAAAGGGACTATTGATAAATGATCTGGATATTTACTTGGCAAAGCGGCGTCCATGGCAGGTGACGGAGAGCACGGAGGAGGAGATCTCGTTGGCCTTGAGGGGAACGTTGTCCAGGAGGTCCGTGAACGTGTACGACCGCAGGTCTAGAGACCTTCCTATCGCCTCCAACACCGTCCTCGACGTCTTTCCCATGCTCCCAAACGCATCTGTTACACCGAACGAAAAAGGAGACGGAAGACGGCACAAAAACACACAAAAGAACAAACAAACAAGCAAATGAAAGTCAGACAAGGGCTTAGGCATCGCTTCTTCAGACGCAGAAATGAGGCGAGCAAGAAACGAACCTGGCAGACATGACGGAGGTATGGAATCCTCCGGAACTGCGCTGATTGGTGTTGCGCCTGGTCGAAACTCGTACACCTCCTTCCCCACATGCGGCTCGCAGTAGTACCCTGCCGTTCGGTTCCACTCCTGGGGGTCGTCCGCGCTCGGAATGGACTGCATTGCCGGGGACGGCCGCCGCTTAAACTGCACCGACATGACAATTGTCAGCTGGGCTCGTGCTAGAAAGTCGTGTTAAAACGGAAAGTCCTTGGAGATTGCTTACCTGGAAATAAACGCGCGAGGAGTCTAGCGTGTATCGGACCAGGGCTTCATCACCAGGTGGCATTTGAATGATTGCTGGATAACGAAGTAGAAACGTTGCGTTTCTGTCAGTAAAACTGCTGCGTTCAGGAGCTACGATACATACGCGGCGACAACGTTGAGCGCTTACCGTAGTTGAATCGAGCTAGCGAGCTCATCAGAGTGCCTAACGCCATGCGATAAGTCTCGTGCGGTAGGCCATCACGAGGAATTAAGTCGACTGCTCTAACCGAAACCGGGTTGCCTGCTGACATTATCATGTGCGGTGGAGGCATGGCGGGAAAGGCTATCATCTTTGCCCGCTCGTCCTCGTACGCCATTCCCGGCATTTGCATCATCTTGGCGAAATTGCACTACTATCTAGCGGCGGTGATGGGTTCGATACTCCGCGAAGGAACACTTGAAATAGCTTGTTCTCGAACGAAGACCTGAAGACACGTGTGAAAAGAGGAGCCATGGTCGTCAAGCTCAAGCTGTGGAATAAGCCTCTGAACAGGTATGCCAAGTATTAAAAGCGTGGTACAAGAGAAAGCTAAAACTAAGTTTTGATTTGCCTTTATGCATTCCTACCTTGGTATGTGGGAAGGGGGTGCTGTGATTATTTTTTTCCCAGCTCGAAACGTGGCGGCTGAAACTTTCAAACGACGAAGACTAGAGAAACAAAGCTCGGAAGGACAAGAAAGGGAAAGTTAGGGTCCCAGAAAAAAATAGTTCACCACAGAAGGGGGGAGAGGCGAAGAAAGTTTGAGCGAGCAGGAGGACGGGAGTGTGGGAGGCTAGGGTTTCAAGAGCCGCAAGGAGGAAAGCTCGAAGCCACGTATCATCCGTCCGATTCAAAGCTCATTTTTTTCAACCGTCAGATGCAAAAGCATCTTGGGGCTCTTGAGGGGTTCAGCAAACGTGGAGCTGCCCTCATGCTCCAATCGACCGCCTTCCACACAACACACACGAAAAATCAAAACGACAAAGGTTGAACACTCCGTCCGATAATCTAAATCGGACGGTCTTCCGTGGGTTACTCCCTCGAGCAAGGTTGTTGGGCAGGAGTGAGGATCAGCTGAACAACGCTGCAATACTTTTTGCTTGAGGCTGAGAAAAAAACTCGTTCACACACATCTTCACTACTCTTCAGATTGGGCTAACTGGGTGACTATACTGCCAAAAATCATATATACATTGAAGTTTGACTACTACTCAATATAGAGCTGAGGAATGGTTATGGGAGGAGAGGAGACGAATGCAACGCTCTAGGTCAATGTCAAATGGAGCAAATAATTACGTTACAAACAGGTTGTATGTACCACATTGCTATGCACAACTTGCTTGACGTTTGACACAACTTCCGTCACATTCTCCTCTTGGTACACTACAAATAACTTCCAAAAATTCATACATTGATGAAAGGCTTCATGTAACAATCAGATACATCAATTCGTCATGGAGGGGGGCCACTGTTTCCGAACCTAGAGAGCACAAACTGGTCAAGCTCTCTCTGCCGCCCATCAAAAGAGGACGTTGGCGGGTTACCAGGCAACGACCGCATGCACTGTAGAATGAGATCCACGTCTCGGTACATTCTGTACAATTCAATGAAGGCATGGGGAAAAGCATGGAGAAGCTTTGCAAAGTGTAGCTCTGCATTCTACCCGAGACGACCAAGACCAGGAGAGTTACAAAAACACGTGGAAGAACGTGGGTGCCTAACAGGAAAGAGCATACAGAAGCAGAAATGCATAAAATGAGAAGAACGCTCTTCCACCCACATTGGGCTGTGAAGCAGCCATGAGCCGATGGCAAAGCCGCTTCACAACAGTGCATCAAGAGACCCTCTTCCCCCCCCACCCTCCTCCTCTCTCCCCCTCTTCCCCTCTGACCTGCGCTTGGCCTGTGGTGTGGGTGTGTCAATTTTGGCAAAGGAGTCGGCGAGCTGCACATGGAACAGTGCCACCACCCGCCTGGTGTGTTGTGTTGTGCGCCCCCACCCACACGTGCGTGTGTGCACCCACAGGAGAGGCACAAGGGACAAGGAGAGGAGTGGAGAAAAAAGGAAGATGGGGCATGGTTGATGGCAGGTTGAGAGGGGGATGGGGCATGGGCTGAGGGACCGGAGGATGAGAAAGGGAATGCGGGTATGGCAGCACTTGTGGCACAGGGATGTGAGAGGAGTGTGGGGACAAGGGTATGACAGCATATGTGGGAATGGGGATATTCAGCAAGAGACAAAATAGGAGTGTGCCTGGAAATGAGGAGTGCCTGTGGGAACAGGGAACAAGAAGCACCGCTGGGAATGAGGGGCCACCATGGCTATGGTACAGTACAATACGGTGCAGTATGGTACGATACGGTACGCACGAGAAGATGGAGCGAAGGTCGGCCTCGAGCAGCAGAGGGGAGAGGATGCGATGCAGCACGCCCACCTCCTGGTGTGGCCAGGGGAGATGGCGGGGGGCAGCGAGTGCGGGTCACAGGGTCGGGGTAAGATGGTGGGGGTGTGATGGTGGGGGGAGATGGTGGGGGAGGTGTGGCTTAGAGCGGTTTGGCTGATTGAGACAAGAAGGAAGCAGAACATCATCAGGCACAACAGCTACAGCATGCGAGGCATGAGGGGCATGAGAGGCATGAGGGGCATGAGAGGCATGAGGGGCGAGAGTGCGTGAGAGGAAGAAGAGGTATGCCTTGGTGAGGGCACGGGCGAAGTTGGAGGGCTGCTGCTCGGCAGGGGAGTCGTCCGGGCGGCAGTAGGTGTCAGCTACTGCGGGCAGCGAGCGCAGGTGCACGAGCAGGCGCTCCCTCATGATTGCCACCAGCTTGCTGTGGATCTCGTCCCTGTGCACCCTGTAGTCCTGTGGTGCCGTGCCGTGCGGTGGGGGGGGTGGGGTGGGGTGGGGTGGGGTGTTGGAAAACACAGCAGCAGGAGCATGGAGCATGGAGCATGGAGCATGGAGCATGGAGCATGGAGAATGGAGAATGGAGCATGGAGCAAATGTGCAGGCACACGTACCTGAGCCACGCGGTCAAGGTGCGTTATGACGAGCCCTCGCCGCGCATCGGGGATGAAGGCAGACAGAATGCGCCGCAGGTCTGGTGGGACATGGGATGGGGGGATGATGGGGGATGGGGTATGACGAGTGCATGGGGAACGAGACAAGTGCAACTGTGCAAGGAGGGGCAACAAGGCGGCAATGCGAATTCGAGATGCACACGGGGGTGCATGGGTCAGCGGGGATGAGTACACCACACAGTGTGCAAGTAGGTCAGTGCTGCATGCAGCAGCTCGCCCCTGGGAGCGCAGACACGAGCAAGACGCATTGGATTGGTGCCGATAAACCAATCGCTCGGCCATGCGTTCATGCTTTCCCCTGCAGGCTAGCCTTGTGATATAGGCATGTCAATCTGTTGTGACTAAACCCTAAGTTTAACTCACCGGGGATGAGAGCATAGACGAGGGAGATGCATTGGCTGGAGAGTGCGAGGTGCTTGGCTGTGATGGTTTTCAGCCCGGACACCTGCCGGGAGGGAGAGTAGGGGAGCGGCAGCAAGGGGCGCGGATAAAATGAAGAACCACGTGCAGACTCTTCTGGCAGCGGCACTTGGCAGGCGGCTTACAGACCTTCATGCATTTGCGGCATGGGCACCCTTGCTGCAACCAGGCTCACAGGCCCTGTCTCCTGTAAGGCCTACAGCCAGCTCGCTGTGCCTCACAGCCTCCACGGTCCACCCCCCGTGTGATCACGGCACAGGTCGCCCTTCCCTGCACAGCGCCTACACCCTGCTTGCCACCCATGCAAGCCCCTCCCCACCTGCATGGCGCCCATGCACGCCTACACCCTGCTTGCCACCCATGCAAGCCCCTCCCCACCTGCATGGCGCCCATGCACGCCTACACCCTGCTTGCCACCCATGCAAGCCCCTCCCCACCTGCATGGCGCCCGCGCCCAGCACAAGCTGGCAGGTGCGCGAGTTGAAGAGCTTCAGCAGGTCCGCCAGGCGCTGCACCACCTCCCCTGCCAGCGATGGGAGCGCCTCCGCCAGCGCCACGTACTCCCTGGTCACTGACAGCAGCGTGCATGCACTAGTGGGGTAGGGGGGCGCGGGTGGAAGAGGAGCGGAGTAGGTGAGTCAAAAGGGGGCAAGGGAACGCATGCCAGGCGCTGCACCACCTCCCCTGACAGCGATGATAGTGCCTCTGCCACTGCCACGTACTCTCCTCCTGACAGGAGCGTGCATGCACTGGTGGGATAGGGGGGGCGCATGAGAAGAGACGAGAGGGTGGATTTGAGGGTGGGTTGGCGAATGAAAGCCGGGCGCTGCTCCACCTCCCCCGAGAGTGACCGCAGTGCCTCCGCCACTGCCACGCACTCTTTGGTACCTGAGAGCAGCGTGCATGTGCTGGTGGGAGGGAGGGCAAGGGCGGAGAGGAGAGGAGAGGATGGGTGAGACGAAGAGAAAGGAAGGGAGGCTGGGCGCTGCATCACGTCCGCGGATCGCAATAGCAGGGCGGGTATCGTAGCAAGAGCACCGCCCCACCTGCAAGTGTGGCATGGCAGAACCAGTAAGCGACAACAAGAAGGCCTCGACCTCATGTATGGGTGAGGTGAGTCAGGTCCCCTGCTAAGTGCGCATGAGGGACATGCTGCATGCTCCATAAACGTTAATATCAACCCAGGAACCCTTACCTGCCAGTGACATGGCACGTTTCTCACCTGGCAGTGACGTGGTATTTCACTCCCCGGCACACGACAGTCTTCACAGCTGCCCTCTTCTGTGCCTTGGGCCCCTCTGCTGCTCCAGTGGCAGGGGAAGCAGGGGAGGCGGCAGCAGCAGGAGCAGCAGCAGCAGCAGCAGAAGCTGCTGCTGGTGCTGCTTCCGTCGGTGGGGCAGGTGCTACAGCAGCAACAGGCGGTGCCTCCCCAGCAGCGGTTGCAGCAGGCGAAGCAGCTGCACCTGGCACCGTCTCCCTTCGCTGCAACCCCTCTGCTTCTCCCTCACCTCCCTCCCTCCTCAACTCCCCTCCCTTCTCCATCCCCTCCGCCCCTACCCTCTCAGCCTCCCCTCTTCCTGCTGCTCCTCCTTGCACCATGACACCTGCCCCGTCTCCACCACCCTCCATTCCACCCTCGCGGCCTTCTCTTCTTCCTCCCTCACTTGCCACACTACCGTCCCCTCTTCTCGCATTCGCCTGCCCTTGCCCGTCACTCCTATCACCCTCTGCTGCCTGCTCTAGCTGCACTGATTCTTGTGCCTCATCTTCCCTCGGGCCACCCCCAGCCTGTGCTAAACCGCCACCTGTCATCGGCCCATTGGCTGCTGCAGTGTCCCGCGCAGCCTCATGTGCAGCCCTATAGCCATCCACAGCAGGCTCAGCAGCATCGGAAGCAGCAGCCACATCAACAGCAGCAGCAGTAGCAGCGGCATCAGCAGCAGCAGAAGTGGCGGCCTCATTAGCAGCAGCAACAGCAGTAGCGGCATCAGCAGTAGCGGCATCAGCAGCAGCAGTAGCAGCAGCAGCATCAGAAGCAGCAACAGCAGCAGCCGCATCAGCAGCGGCAGCAGCAGCGGCTTCGGCAGAAGGATCCAGGAAGGTGCAGAAGAAGTCAACGAGGGCCTGGGTGTCAGGAGTGGCATCTACAGCCGTCCATGTCTCCTTGTTCAACAGTGAGAGGATGAGCGCCATCTGGTGGGGAGTGTGAGGACAGTGAAGAGAGGATGAAGCACAGGATCACCTCCTTCTTCCAGTGAAGAGAGGATGAAGCACAGGATCACCTCCTTCTTTCAGTGAAGAGAGGATGAAGCACAGGATCACCTCCTTCTTTCAGTGAAGAGAGGATGAAGCACAGGATCACCTCCTTCTTTCAGTGAAGAGAGGATGAAGCACAGGATCACCTCCTTCTTTCAGTGAAGAGAGGATGAAGCACAGGATCACCTCCTTCTTTCAGTGAAGAGAGGATGAAGCACAGGATCACCTCCTTCTTTCAGTGAAGAGAGGATGAAGCACAGGATCACCTCCTTCTTTCAGTGAAGAGAGGATGAAGCACAGGATCACCTCCTTCTTTCAGTGAAGAGAGGATGAAGCACAGGATCACCTCCTTCTTTCAGTGAAGAGAGGATGAAGCACAGGATCACCTCCTTCTTTCAGTGAAGAGAGGATGAAGCACAGGATCACCTCCTTCTTTCAGTGAAGAGAGGATGAAGCACAGGATCACCTCCTTCTTTCAGTGAAGAGAGGATGAAGCACAGGATCACCTCCTTCTTCCAGTGAAGAGAGGATGAAGCACAGGATCACCTCCTTCTTTCAGTGAAGAGAGGATGAAGCACAGGATCACCTCCTTCTTTCAGTGAAGAGAGGATGAAGCACAGGATCACCTCCTTCTTTCAGTGAAGAGAGGATGAAGCACAGGATCACCTCCTTCTTTCAGTGAAGAGAGGATGAAGCACAGGATCACCTCCTTCTTTCAGTGAAGAGAGGATGAAGCACAGGATCACCTCCTTCTTTCAGTGAAGAGAGGATGAAGCACAGGATCACCTCCTTCTTTCAGTGAAGAGAGGATGAAGCACAGGATCACCTCCTTCTTTCAGTGAAGAGAGGATGAAGCACAGGATCACCTCCTTCTTTCAGTGAAGAGAGGATGAAGCACAGGATCACCTCCTTCTTTCAGTGAAGAGAGGATGAAGCACAGGATCACCTCCTTCTTTCAGTGAAGAGAGGATGAAGCACAGGATCACCTCCTTCTTTCAGTGAAGAGAGGATGAAGCACAGGATCACCTCCTTCTTTCAGTGAAGAGAGGATGAAGCACAGGATCACCTCCTTCTTTCAGTGAAGAGAGGATGAAGCACAGGATCACCTCCTTCTTTCAGTGAAGAGAGGATGAAGCACAGGATCACCTCCTTCTTTCAGTGAAGAGAGGATGAAGCACAGGATCACCTCCTTCTTTCAGTGAAGAGAGGATGAAGCACAGGATCACCTCCTTCTTTCAGTGAAGAGAGGATGAAGCACAGGATCACCTCCTTCTTTCAGTGAAGAGAGGATGAAGCACAGGATCACCTCCTTCTTTCAGTGAAGAGAGGATGAAGCACAGGATCACCTCCTTCTTTCAGTGAAGAGAGGATGAAGCACAGGATCACCTCCTTCTTTCAGTGAAGAGAGGATGAAGCACAGGATCACCTCCTTCTTTCAGTGAAGAGAGGATGAAGCACAGGATCACCTCCTTCTTTCAGTGAAGAGAGGATGAAGCACAGGATCACCTCCTTCTTTCAGTGAAGAGAGGATGAAGCACAGGATCACCTCCTTCTTTCAGTGAAGAGAGGATGAAGCACAGGATCACCTCCTTCTTTCAGTGAAGAGAGGATGAAGCACAGGATCACCTCCTTCTTTCAGTGAAGAGAGGATGAAGCACAGGATCACCTCCTTCTTTCAGTGAAGAGAGGATGAAGCACAGGATCACCTCCTTCTTTCAGTGAAGAGAGGATGAAGCACAGGATCACCTCCTTCTTTCAGTGAAGAGAGGATGAAGCACAGGATCACCTCCTTCTTTCAGTGAAGAGAGGATGAAGCACAGGATCACCTCCTTCTTTCAGTGAAGAGAGGATGAAGCACAGGATCACCTCCTTCTTTCAGTGAAGAGAGGATGAAGCACAGGATCACCTCCTTCTTTCAGTGAAGAGAGGATGAAGCACAGGATCACCTCCTTCTTTCAGTGAAGAGAGGATGAAGCACAGGATCACCTCCTTCTTTCAGTGAAGAGAGGATGAAGCACAGGATCACCTCCTTCTTTCAGTGAAGAGAGGATGAAGCACAGGATCACCTCCTTCTTTCAGTGAAGAGAGGATGAAGCACAGGATCACCTCCTTCTTTCAGTGAAGAGAGGATGAAGCACAGGATCACCTCCTTCTTTCAGTGAAGAGAGGATGAAGCACAGGATCACCTCCTTCTTTCAGTGAAGAGAGGATGAAGCACAGGATCACCTCCTTCTTTCAGTGAAGAGAGGATGAAGCACAGGATCACCTCCTTCTTTCAGTGAAGAGAGGATGAAGCACAGGATCACCTCCTTCTTTCAGTGAAGAGAGGATGAAGCACAGGATCACCTCCTTCTTTCAGTGAAGAGAGGATGAAGCACAGGATCACCTCCTTCTTTCAGTGAAGAGAGGATGAAGCACAGGATCACCTCCTTCTTTCAGTGAAGAGAGGATGAAGCACAGGATCACCTCCTTCTTTCAGTGAAGAGAGGATGAAGCACAGGATCACCTCCTTCTTTCAGTGAAGAGAGGATGAAGCACAGGATCACCTCCTTCTTTCAGTGAAGAGAGGATGAAGCACAGGATCACCTCCTTCTTTCAGTGAAGAGAGGATGAAGCACAGGATCACCTCCTTCTTTCAGTGAAGAGAGGATGAAGCACAGGATCACCTCCTTCTTTCAGTGAAGAGAGGATGAAGCACAGGATCACCTCCTTCTTTCAGTGAAGAGAGGATGAAGCACAGGATCACCTCCTTCTTTCAGTGAAGAGAGGATGAAGCACAGGATCACCTCCTTCTTTCAGTGAAGAGAGGATGAAGCACAGGATCACCTCCTTCTTTCAGTGAAGAGAGGATGAAGCACAGGATCACCTCCTTCTTTCAGTGAAGAGAGGATGAAGCACAGGATCACCTCCTTCTTTCAGTGAAGAGAGGATGAAGCACAGGATCACCTCCTTCTTTCAGTGAAGAGAGGATGAAGCACAGGATCACCTCCTTCTTTCAGTGAAGAGAGGATGAAGCACAGGATCACCTCCTTCTTTCAGTGAAGAGAGGATGAAGCACAGGATCACCTCCTTCTTTCAGTGAAGAGAGGATGAAGCACAGGATCACCTCCTTCTTTCAGTGAAGAGAGGATGAAGCACAGGATCACCTCCTTCTTTCAGTGAAGAGAGGATGAAGCACAGGATCACCTCCTTCTTTCAGTGAAGAGAGGATGAAGCACAGGATCACCTCCTTCTTTCAGTGAAGAGAGGATGAAGCACAGGATCACCTCCTTCTTTCAGTGAAGAGAGGATGAAGCACAGGATCACCTCCTTCTTTCAGTGAAGAGAGGATGAAGCACAGGATCACCTCCTTCTTTCAGTGAAGAGAGGATGAAGCACAGGATCACCTCCTTCTTTCAGTGAAGAGAGGATGAAGCACAGGATCACCTCCTTCTTTCAGTGAAGAGAGGATGAAGCACAGGATCACCTCCTTCTTTCAGTGAAGAGAGGATGAAGCACAGGATCACCTCCTTCTTTCAGTGAAGAGAGGATGAAGCACAGGATCACCTCCTTCTTTCAGTGAAGAGAGGATGAAGCACAGGATCACCTCCTTCTTTCAGTGAAGAGAGGATGAAGCACAGGATCACCTCCTTCTTTCAGTGAAGAGAGGATGAAGCACAGGATCACCTCCTTCTTTCAGTGAAGAGAGGATGAAGCACAGGATCACCTCCTTCTTTCAGTGAAGAGAGGATGAAGCACAGGATCACCTCCTTCTTTCAGTGAAGAGAGGATGAAGCACAGGATCACCTCCTTCTTTCAGTGAAGAGAGGATGAAGCACAGGATCACCTCCTTCTTTCAGTGAAGAGAGGATGAAGCACAGGATCACCTCCTTCTTTCAGTGAAGAGAGGATGAAGCACAGGATCACCTCCTTCTTTCAGTGAAGAGAGGATGAAGCACAGGATCACCTCCTTCTTTCAGTGAAGAGAGGATGAAGCACAGGATCACCTCCTTCTTTCAGTGAAGAGAGGATGAAGCACAGGATCACCTCCTTCTTTCAGTGAAGAGAGGATGAAGCACAGGATCACCTTGTTGAGGAGCGAGAGAATGGGTGCCATCTGATGTGATGTGATGAGAGGGGAGACGGGCGAGAGGCGAGGGGAGACGGGCGAGAGGCGAGGGGAGACGGGCGAGAGGCGAGGGGAGACGGGCGAGAGGCGAGGGGAGCGGGGAGCACGGAGCACAGGAGGCAACGGTGTGAAAGAAAACATTCACAGCCGTCCATGTGTCCTTGTTGAGGATCGAGAGGATGAGCGCCATCTGGTGGGATGAGGTGAGAGGGGAACAGGGAAGCAGCGAGTGGGAAGCACGGATGAGGGAGCAGTGAGGGACAGGAATTCACAATGTGAAGTGGTGGCTTCTACAGCCTTCCAGATTTCCTTGTGGAGGGACGAGAGGATGAGCGCCATCTGGTGGGGAGAGGGGAGAGGGGAGAGGGGAGAGGGGAGAGGGGAGAGGGGAGAGGGGAGAGGGGAGAGGGGAGAGGGGACCCATCCATCTCCCCTTCCTCCCATCCTCCCCTCCACTGCTGCACCTCACCTCCCTCCACTGCTGCACCTCACCTCCCTCCACTGCTGAACCTCACCTCCCTCCACTGCTGCACCTCACCTCCCTCCACTGCTGCACCTCACCTCCTTCGAGTGATGTGTCTCAACAAACGCCTTGGCCTGCGACTGTAGCGCGCCCCGTATGCTGTAGCCCAGCCTGCCGCCCACCTGTGGCACAGAGGGGACGGAGTGGGAGCGGTAGTGGACGGCAGGGAAAGGCAAGGAGGGGAGATATGAGGGGGTAACGGTAAAAGGTAACTTTGCAGCCCAGCAACAGCAGCTGTGAATCCCACCCACAGCAGCACTTGTGCATTATAAACCGCAGCACCAGCTCACCCGCTCCGTTGATGCGATAAAGTCGGAGGGGACAGCATACATGGCCACGAGGGGACAGCATACATGGCCACGAAAGACCCCCACGGGGCAGCAATGACTTACCATGATGCTCCAAGCCATGTCCCACACTCACAGCAGCAGCTCACCCGTTCAGTGGAGGCAATGAAGTCGGAGGTGACAGCGTACATGTCCACAAAGTCGCCCAAAGACAGCTTCGGGTGCACCTGTGCTCGCACGCCCAGCAGCTTCGCCCACCGCCCGTGCGCCACCTCGCATGCATCGCTCACTGCCTCCGCATTCTCCCTCAGCACGTCCGCTCTGAGGGGTTGAGTTTGAAGGGGTTGGAGGATGGGAGGATGGGGGGATGGGAGGATGGGAGGATGGGAGGATGGGAGGATGGGAGGATGGGAGGATGGGAGGATGGGGGGATGGGAGGATGGGAGGATGGGAGGATGGGAGGATGGGAGGATGGGAGGATGGGGAGCACAAGTGGCAGGGGTCAGGTGGGAGCACAGGTGGCAAAACTCCGGTGGGTGGGTGGGAGCACAGGTGACAGAGCTCAGGTGGGTGGGTGGGAGCACAACGTACCTGAGCTGCTTGGACGTGGCTAAAGCAGTCACGCTGCTCACATCGCCCCCCGCTGCCTCCCCACTCCCTGCTGCTCCCCCAACGCCACCTGCCGCCCCTCCCCCTCCCAAGCCTTTTCCCACCCCCTTTCTCCCCAGCAGCTTCGACTCAGCAGCCTCGGCAGCCACCACTAGCTCTGCCCCCGAAGCAAACGCCGCAGCCACGGCAGCAGCCTCGTACCCCATGGCAGGCTCGGCGGCCGTGGCAGCAGCACCGGCAGCAGCTCCGGCGGTGGCAATGCCAGACACTACGTTCCGAACGGCTGCCGCCCGCACGAGGCGGGTCTGGACGGCAGAGAAGACGGCGAGCAGTAAGTGGACGAAGGCAGGCGGGGCGAGGGCACGGAGCTTGAGGGCGAGCGATGGCGCTGGGTTGGGGGTGGAGGGGGAGGTGGCGGGGAGGGGAGAGGGGAAGGGGGGGTGAGTTAGGGAAGGAGAGTGGGAGGACGGTGAGGGTTGATTGAATAGGTACATGTTAGTTGGTTGGGAGAAGGCTACATGGGTGGAAGAAAGTGGGTGTGAGACCTCATTCGCATGAAGAAAGACACAAATAATGAGCAAAAGATTGAGCCGCTTCCCTTCTTTGAAAAGAAGAGCGTCCTCCCACTCTCCAAACCAACGCCTCTCTCACAGCAACAGGCTCGCTCCCTTCCCCTCCATATGTCAAAGAAATTGCCCCAAATCAGCCGCGTCCCCTGGTTCTATCCCCCACTGCACCTCGTGTCTCACCGTTCAGCACATCGGCTGCAGGCTCGCCCCCTTTCCTCCTCATTTAAAACCCGAAATGCTAAAATTTTCAAATCAGCCCATTCAACTCATCCCATCCCATCCACCACTGGCCGCATGTCTCACCATTGAGGGCATCGGCTGCAGCGTCGCCCCCCTCGCCTCCTGCACCACCCGGCGCCCCACCAGCAGCAGCAGCAGCGGCGGCGTGCTGCAGGAAGAGCAGCGGCAGCAGCTCGCCCACCACGGTCTTCACGGCCGCCTTGATGTCCACATTCACTGCATCCCGATAGGCCCGCAGCACTGCCGGCAGGCGCGACTGGAGGGAGCAGAAAAGAGCAGGGGTTAGGGAAAGGAAAAGAAGGAAAGAGCTTTACGGCCGTCTTGATGCCTGCACTCACTGCATCTCGGTATGCGCGCAGCACTGCAGGCAGGCGCGACTGGGGGAGTGGGGAGGATATGGCGTTAGGGGAGCGCATGGAGATGAAAAGCCTTGATGTGTCCAATTCACTGCATCTCGATATGTCCTCAGCACCGCAGGCAGGCGCGACTGGTGGAGGAGAGATGAGAGGGTGGGAGACAGGTATGGGTGGGGGGGAAACAAGGTGAAGAAGAACGCAACGGCCACCTGAAGCCCCACCCTCACTGCATCTCAGCACACCCCAAACCTCACACTCAACCGCTCACCGCTCACCCCTCACCCCTCACCCCTCACCCCTCACCCCTTACTGTGCACAGCAGGCTGATGACGAGTGGCAGCAGCAGTTGCACTCAAAGACAACCCACCCCACCTCCCTTTCCTCTTCCCCCCCTTCCCCTCCTTCCCTTATGTTCGACCTGCATGCCCGGTTCACATGAGAGCCAGTGCTTGGACCCCTAATTCCACACCCAAACCCTCACCCCTGAACCCTTACTGTGCGCAGCAGGCTGATGACGAGTGGCAGCAGATGCTCCCTGAGGCGAGCCTCCCTCTCCTCCATGCCCTCTCGCTGCATGCACCACCATGGACGGGGCGAGGCCACGCATGCACCAGGCACGGGCAGGGAACGGACGGGGCATGGATGGGGTACGGATGGGGTACGGATGGGGTACGGATGGGTTACGGATGGGGTACAGATGGGGCATGGATGGGGCATGGATGGGGCATGGATGGGGCATGATAGGGGCACGCAATGGGTTGGGATCCATGCATGCACCAGGCATGCACGTGGGGGGGCGAGGCATGCGACAGGCATGCACGGGGCGATACAAGGTATGGACGGAGCAGACACAGAAACAAAGGGCGAAACATGGCAAGACACAGGACTTAGAGAAGAGGAACAGCAGGTCACACAGGAGAACGAGCAACAAACATTCACAAACCTGTGGGCCCAACTCTTGAGACGTCTTGGAACTCGATTACTACACACAAGCACAGGCAGGCCTGGGATACTGGCTATGAAGCGCGCCAGAACAAGGCTGATTCTGCACCAGTCACCACGCTTTGTACCTATAGTCACACAGTTCCTGCACACACCTCGAGGTTGACTATAGAGAGCAGCGTTGCAGCTGGGGGCACACTCTTCTGCATGTTGAAGCTGGTGACTATGGCGGAAGGCGCCACGTCAGCAGCATCGTGCACTGCTTCCCGGACAAAGTCAGCTGTAAGGAGGCTGCGAGGGCGGAAGGGAATGGGGGGGTGAGAGGGGGGTATGGGATGGACGAGAGAAACAGAGGTGACTTCTGAGTGGACTCTCAAGACACTGCTCCCTGCACAAAGTCAACCGTTAAGAGGCTGGGAAGGCCGACGGATGGTGTAGGGGGGAAAGGTAAGGGATGGATTTTAGAGTAGTAGCATGCATCGTGGGAGTGATCGTGGATGTCTGGGCGAGTGGAGGCAGGAGGAAAGCAGAGGAGAAACAGTGGCAGGAGGGGAGAGCGACCAACCTGTTGACAGCAGAAGCAGTGCAGAGAGGGATGTGAGAATGGCAGGAGGGTAAGAGAGGGAAACAGACCTGTTGACGGCATCGGAGGAGGAGAGGAGGAGGTCGTTGAGGGGGCGGAAGCAGTGCAGCCCTGCCAGCTCCTGCCCCTCCATGAGGCGCCTCAAGTCGTCCATCACGTCCAACGCGCCCGCACAGTCGCCCGAGGACACCAGCTGATGGAAAGGGGTGGTGCAGTGTTGGTTGAAAAGGAAGGACCAGAGGGAAGAAGCCACCAAGTGAGCTCCTGCCCCTCCATTAGGCGTCTGAGGTCGTCCATCACGTCCAGCGCGCCCGCACAGTTGCGTGACGACCGCAGCTGATGGGCAGGGAAGAGGTGGTGAAGAGCGGCATGGGCAGCAAGGAATGATGAGAGGGCAGGAAGCAAGGCGCGCACGCCAGCATCACGAGCACCAAGTGAGCTCGCTGCCCTCCATGAGGCGCTTCAAGTCGTCCATCACGTCCAACGCGCCCGCACAGTCGCCCGATGACACCAGCTGATGGGGATTGGGTGGTGGGGTGGTGGGTGGGAGGATGGGCAGTAAGGAACGTCTGGTAAGCACGAATTACGGGGTGCAAGGTACAGTCACGAGCACCCAGTGAGCTCCTGCCCCTCAATGAGGCGCCTCAAGTCGATCATCGTGTCCAACGCGCCTGCACAGTCGCGTGACGACACCAGCTGGTGGGATGGTAGGGTGGTGGGGACATTGGGAGCGTGAGCTTGACACGGCTCAAAGCCTCAGGAAGGCAGGGGAGTGGGGCACCCATCAGGTCGCTGCCGTGGATGAGGTGTCCGAGCTGAGCCCCTCCTCTCTCACATCCAAAGCGCCCGCACTGTCACCAGAGGACACCAGAAGGGATGGCTTCTTACCGAATTGCTCCTTACCAGCTTCAACGTCGCCATGGCCTGGTGCACGAACGCCACTAGCTTCAGCTTCTGATGCAGCTGCAGCAGGTTCTCCCGCCGAACCTTGGTCGCCTGCAGCTTCCGCGATCCTTCCAGCAGATCCTCGTCCAGCATCCCCACCGTGCCGCGCAACAGACGGATGCGATCGCACGTCTCCACAATCCCACGGTTCAGATCTTCCAGTTTTTCCAGGGCCTCGAAGAACGAGTCGGAGCGGGAAGAGATTTCCTTAACTAAGTGCACTTCGACGAGGTCTAAGTAATGCGATAATTTCTCCTGTAGAAGCATATTCGCGGGAATGGAGGGAGACGGGCAGACCGTGTCAAAAATCTCCTTCCGCTCAAGGGCAAAATGCTCGTCGAAATACACCGGGGGTATTTCCCTGAGACACGCTGCTAGACCCTGACCTTCTGACCGCGATGCTAGAATACCCTTCCCTTTCCGTTCCTCTCTCCCCTCGCTGTCCACGTCAGCACCGGGTGCCTCCCCAGTGGCCAACTCCCACGTGGAATGCTCCTGCACGTCAACGAATCGCCCGTACGGCTCCCGCATCCGCTGCAAATACGGCTGAAATTCCGACATGGGAAAATCTTGAATTTCCGGCGGCAGAGGCGGAGGACCCTCTAAAACCGGCTCCACTGGCCGCTGCGCGGTAATCCACGTCCACGCGTTCTCGGTTCCGTAAATTCCGGCCTTTCCGAGGCGCGGGTCGTTAAGAACCGACGCGAGGCTCTGGCCAGAGGAGTACGCGAGCGCCTCCATTTCTTTGTGACTGCGCGGCGTCGACGCGGTGCTCGAGCCATTCGCGGATTCCTGCACGTTCCCTGCGCTCCGCGAAACGCGGAGGCCCGATTCTGGCGTGGTGGGGAAGGACACCTGCGCAGGATGTGCGGCAGCTGACGTGTCCATGGGGATTGGATCGCGAACGATACTATTCAGGTTAGGAGGAGTCAGTTCTGACAGCGCCCATTACTTCGGTGGGTCGTCGACCGACCCTGTGAAGATAAGTGGCCCTGATTCCTGTGCGTCCGCGAAACGCTGAACGGAAATCTAGAATGTGGCAAAGCTTCTGACAACTGCCCTTGTAAACGCGACTTGAACATTCACAAGAAGGATTCCACCACGCCAATAGCGGGTTGCGATTTGAAGATGTGGGGGAATGGACGTGATGTGACGGAATGAGCGGCAGGAGACGAGGGAGAAATCGAGGTGACGAGACCTAGTTGACGGTCGCCGTTTGAACAACCGGACCCACGACCAAGCTCGAACGGCTCGCAATTCTAAGTTCTGTCAGAGTTCACTTTCGCGCTTTTCGCTTCTCGTCAGTCCCAATGGACAAAGTCGGAATGCATACACGGAAGGTTACACTTTCTCGCATGTTTTGATAAGAAATTACCATTACAGTGCTTTACAAGATGAATTTATGAATCGCTTCTGCAATACCATCATCATCATTGCTTGCAACTGTGGCCTTCGCAACAGCCTTAGTCTTCTCGGAACCATTCGCCATAGCCACTCCCCAACCCACCATCTCAATCATTTCAAGATCGTTCTCGCCATCACCAATTGCCATAACCTGCAACAGATTAGAGGAACTAAATCACGTCAAAACTCGGCCCACAAACATGAACGAAACGGCCTGTGTGCGTGCGCGCACGCACGCGCGCGTGTGGGTGGGTGTGGGGGGTTGGGAGGGGTGGGTGGGGGGGCGAGCGTGCCTGCGTGCATTCGTGCGTGCGTGCATTCATGCGTGCGTGCGTTCGTGCATGCGTGCGTGCGAGCGTGCATGCGTGCGTGCGAGCGTGCATGCGTGCGTGCGCGCGCGTGCGTGCGAGCGTGCGAGCGTGCGTGCGTGCATGCCTGTGCATGTGTGTGTGCACGTATGTGCACGCGTGCGTATGTCACGGAGAGAAAACAGAGGGGGTAGTGAAAAAGTTGTGCAGCAGAATGGAACACCATATGTATGGTTAAAGAACCGACCTGCTCCGCAGAGAGCTTGAGATGGTCCAGCAGGACTCTCACTCCCGCCCCCTTGGATTGCCCGGGCGGCAGAATCTCAAGCATGTCCGGCACGGCCTGAGTCACTGTTGCACGGCCGGCTGTAGCGGCCGACCAGAAAGGACGAATGAAGCCGTCAATGCCGTGCGGCGTGTCGTAAAACAGGAGCTTCTGCTTGAGGAGCAGGCGATGGGGGAAGGAGAACAGTAAAAGAGGAGACAGAGGTAGGAGGGAAAGAGAGGGGGGATAGAATGGATGCAAAAGGGGTTACTGAGTGGATGACGAACCCTGAAAGCTGCTGGAATTACTTCGTAACACTGTCACATGAGGGGGCTGTCGCGCTCACCTGGATGGGAGTCTCGTTGATGATGTGGTGCACACTCTGCATCACCTCCGCCTGCCACACACACATAAACACGCAAGCAAACAGGAGCACATATAAGGAACATCGACTTCACGCATGGAATTCACATCAAATGTATGCACACTAGAGCATGAGCACATAAGGAACATGAACATTAACAACGATAATTACATGGCGTCTCATGGAACTCACATGGCGTGTCATGGAAATCACATAGCGTGTGCCATGGTAAGGATATGGTGTGCAGCAGCACCTCCACCAATGGAGAGCATGCTTTCAGCAGCAGCAGGGGGAGGGTAACATACCCGTGGCTCATAGTAGATGGTGTGCAGCGCCTCCACCAATGGGTGATCGACAAGTGTCACGCAGCGGTCCCCACAGAAGCCAATGAGCGCCTTGCCGTGCTTCAGGGCGAACTCAAAGCCCTGTGGGGCGGAGGAAGGGCGGCGAGAAGGCAATGAGGCAGCTGTGGAGCAACGAGGTTCACGGCCAACTCCTGTAGTTCACCTCGCCTTGCCATGCTTCGGGGCCAACTCATAGCCGGGCAGAGGAAGGAGGAGGGGGGGGAGCAGGAGAGGATACACAAAATGGATGGGAGGGAGGGAGCAAGCGGGAGAAGCAGGAATGAACATCGGGTTTACGAGTGCTGAACGAGGCGTAAAGATGGCAAACATAGGATAGAGGGAATAACAACAGCGGAGGGACAAGGAGAGGGCAGGCGTGGCCTGACAGAGGAGGAGGAGGAGGAGGACATCACCTGCCCCCCCTACCGCACACACTACACTTGGACGCATGCAGGGACACAGGCATGAGCATAAGGCGGGAGGGAGGGGCAGTGGATGGCACGCACCTCCTGAGTGACCTCGCGGGGCAGTGGATGGCACGCACCTCCTGAGTGACCTCGCGGGGCAGTGGATGGCACGCACCTCCTGAGTGACCTCGCGGGGCAGTGGATGGCACGCACCTCCTGAGTGACCTCGCGGGGCAGTGGATGGCACGCACCTCCTGAGTGACCTCGCGGGGCAGTGGATGGCACGCACCTCCTGAGTGACCTCGCGGGGCAGTGGATGGCACGCACCTCCTGAGTGACCTCGCGGGGCAGTGGATGGCACGCACCTCCTGAGTGACCTCGCGGGGCAGTGGATGGCACGCACCTCCTGAGTGACCTCGCGGGGCAGTGGATGGCACGCACCTCCTGAGTGACCTCGCGGGGCAGCAGCGCGTTGTGCACCACCTGCCCTCCCTTGCCGTACACCCTCAGACCCTGGCGGGTTGAGAATCACACGCACGCACGCACGCACGCACGCATGCACGCATACACGCACACACACACGTGGATGGGGGGACTCGCACGTGCAAATACAAGCACCCGTGCATCAGCGCAAGCAAAAAAGGTAAAATGCTAAGCATACAGCGGCACGTACAGCCCTACCCTGGAGTCTGGTTGCTGTAACAACCGTACCCTGGAGGCTAGCAGCTGTAACACCCGTATCCTATAGCAACTTAGCATGTCACACACCTGCAGGAACACCCCCGGGGACTTGTCACTGAATATCCCAGCAGAGCCAACCAGCCCTGCAGCGCCCAGAGCGGACATGGCAGCTGGCCTTGCCTTTACCGTGGGCAGTGTCTACTTGAACCTTAGGATTACCATGCACCTGCAGCACCCCTATTCCACATCAGTGTAAGCGTTTGACACACCTGCACCTTGCACACACATGCACATCGCACACACATGCACCTCGCACACACCTGCACATCGCACACACCTGCACCCCGCACACACCTGCAGGAACACCCCCGGCGACTTGTCGCTGAAGATGCCAGCAGACCCAACCAGCCCTGCCGCGCCCAGGGCGGACATGGCGGCTGGCCGTGCTTTGCCCGTGGCGATGGCCACGCGCACGCCCCTGGCGTGGGCTGCTCTCAGGGCCTCTGCTGTTGATGGGGCGATCTTGCTGGCGCTGTTGAGCAGTGTGCCTGGCAGGCAGATGCAGGGGGGAAAGGAAGGAGCATGGGAGGAGAATGCAGATGAGAGGCGTGGTACAGTGCACGCCCTTGGCGTGGTACAGTGCACGCCCTTGGCGTGGTACAGTGCACGCCCTTGGCGTGGTACAGTGCACGCCCTTGGCATGGTACAGTGCACGCCCTTGGCGTGTGAGCGCTCGAAGGCTCTGCTGTGAATGGCGAGATCTTGCTGGTGCTGTTGAGCAGAGTGCCTGGCACGCACGCACGGGAGGAGAAGAAATATGGGAGAATGCAGAACAGAGGCCTGGCATAATGCACGGCCTTGCGTGTGCTGCAGAAGCGTCCATAAGAGCACGCCTTGGTGTTTTTTTTTTCTTCAAGTGCCGTCTCTGCTATTCGAGAGGTGCTCCCTCTCATTGCACATAACATCCACACACCACACATACCATCCACACACCACACATACCATCCACACACCACACATACCATCCACACACCACACATACCATCCACACACCACACATACCATCCACACACCACACATACCATCCACACACCACACATACCATCCACACACCACACATACCATCCACACACCACACATACCATCCACACACCACACATACCATCCACACACCACACATACCATCCACACACCACACATACCATCCACACACCACACATACCATCCACACACCACACATACCATCCACACACCACACATACCATCCACACACCACACATACCATCCACACACCACACATACCATCCACACACCACACATACCATCCACACACCACACATACCATCCACACACCACACATACCATCCACACACCACACATACCATCCACACACCACATACCATCCATGCCCCACATACCATCCATGCCCCACATACCATCCATGTCGCACAAGAGCAGCTGGAACGGGGCTTTCTTGGTCCGCCTCTTCTCTCCCTTCTCCTTCCCTCTCTCCTTCTTCTCTTTGCCCTTCTTATGCTCTCTCTCCTCCGCCCCCACATCAAGCACTTTCCCACCCTTCTTCCCCTTCTCCTTCCCCTTCTCCTCCTTCCCCTTCCCATGCTTGCCCTTGTGTTTCCCCTTGTGCTTCCCCGCGCCACCTTCCTCACCACCCCCTCCCTCTTCCCCCTCCCCCGTTACTGTCACAAATCTTGTCCACCCTGCCATAACCAAGCACACAGAGGACAACAGAAGAAACAAATTGGCAATTTCAAGGCATCTAGCAACAACTGTCACACCTCAACTCCCTTGCCTTCCTTTCTTCCACTTGTATCCATTCCTCTCCATTCCTCTCCATTCCTCTCCTCGCCTCACCATTCCTCTCAACCCCTTTCCATCCCTCGCCACCCATTGCACCCATCTCAGCCCCTTCCAAACCTCGCAACTGTCCCCCCACCAGCACACACCTTGCACCATGCCAATCCTTGTCATCCTTGCCTTCACACCCCCTTTCTCACCCTCCTCCCCTCCAACCTCCCCTCCTCCCTCTCCTCTTCCCTCCGCCCCTCCCTGCGCCCCTCCCCCATCTTCCCCAAGCGCAGCAGCCACCAACCCCACCCCCCGCCATGCAAATGCCTCCAAAATCCGCAGCTCTTCTGTTGCCATCTGCTCCGCTGACTCACGCACCGCCGCCACCAGCTCAGCTTCTGACATCGCTGAGTCAGCAGCGCCCTGCAAAATTCCCTTGGGGGGCTCGTGGTCATATCCGAGCAGATGCAGCATGCCGTGCACCTGTTGGGGGAGGCGGGAGGAAATGGGGGGAGGAGGGGAAGCGAGAGGGGGAGGGGGAGGGGGAGGGGGAGGGGGAGGGGGAGGTGGGTGAGGAAGGGGAAGGGAAGAGTTAGAGGAAGCATTGGTCATACCCGAGCAGATGCAGCATGCTGTGCACGTGAGGAGAGAGGGAGGGGTTGGGGAGGAATGAGCGAGTGGGGAAGGCGGACGGGGAAGGGGAGAAGTGGGGGGCGAGGAGGGGTGTTTGGGAGGAAGGAATGCAGAGATGGGGGGGGCGGGGGCGGGTAAGGAATATGAAACCGTCCAAGTCAGCTCAAAAGTCAAAGTTATCATAACCAGCAGATGCAGGCTGCTGAGGAGCGGTGCCGAGAGGAGAGAGAGAGGCCTGGGGCGGGAGGGGAAGGCAGAGGGCGCATCAGCCATCATACCCGATCCCATCCCAGCACGTGCAGCATGCTACCACCAGCATGCTACAACCAGCATGCTACCACCAGCATGCTACCACCAGCATGCTACAACCAGCATGCTACTACCAGCATGCTACTACCAGCATGCTACTACCAGCATGCTGGTAACATAGGAATGCGAGCACGTTACCATGAGAATGCGAAGCTCGTCCAAGAGTGAATGGCCTCTCTCATTGGCTTGCCGCTGCGCCGTCTCCACCGATATAATCACATCGCCCAGAAGCAACTGCAGCACAGGCGTCAGTGCAACGGGTCGACACAGGGAGGACGAAAAGAACCATTAAATGGTGCCCTGTGAATTCTCATAACACACATGGCGAAAGCAACACATGGGAACAGGTGATATGCAGAGGAGCGCAAGGGTAAGGTGGACGTGAGAAGCAAACGCAGGAGCAACGAAGCTGTTGCGCTGAACTGGCTACTGAGTGAACTCCAAGTCATCCATGTTGCTGGAGGGACCGGAAGCATGGTTAAGATGAAGAGAAGCAAACCAATCTCGACTGAGTGGGAAGGTTACTGTTGGTTGTCCCTGCCTACCAGAGGGGACAGCCCCGCAGGCTGGTCTTGGGGGAAGGACAGCACGTCCGTGGGCGCATCTACACCCCGCCACTCGTTATTGAGCTCTCTGATATAAGCGTCCGTGCACAACAGCACGGACATCTCCGCAGCCGCCACCCCGGAACCGCTCTGCACCTCCTCAAACTCCTCCATGGCCAGCGCCAGCGCGGACGCCGCATCCAAGCGCAGCTCCTCCGCCAAGGCCTGGCGGAGGGGGCAAAAAGAGGGGGCGGGGAAGGGTTGGGGGGAGGGAGGGGAGGGGGGAAGAGAATCCGGGGGTTGTTGGGTGGATGGGGAAACGTAGAGTGTAAGGCGAGGAATTCAAGGTGCACGGACGAATTGGGAAAGCAGGGGCGTGCTGACACGAGGGACAGGATAGCAGAGTAAGGTAGCAGAGGGAGCAGGTTTCTGCCCATGATGCTCCTCCGTAAAGCAACAGGTAAGGGCCTTATCCACTTAGGACTGCCGGTTGGTTCCCCAGTATGTACTCGCCTCCCACACGAATCCTCCAATACGCATCCTCGTGCAATGGTCCTCATACGAAGGTCGGTTATTCCTCCTCACCTTCCACGTGTCCGTCTGCCCGCGCGCCGCCACCTCCGCCGCCAGTCCCTCGTCGATAATCACCGCCGCCATGAAATCAACGTCACTCGCGCCTCCAGCGCCGCCGCTTCCGCCACCGGCCCCCTCGCCGCGCACTTCCTTCCCCGCATCGGCCCCGCCTCCTCCGCTGCTCTCTAGGCCGGAACTAACTTCCCCTTTGCCATCGTTCTCCCTTCCACCCGTCACGGCATCGCTTTTCGACGCAAACGCCCTAACGAGCTCACCTCGACCTGCTCTTAGCGCGTATCCAGCCGCAGGCGGTGACGGAATTAAACCGCTAAGACTCCGTAGTACGCGTCGCGAGGACAGGTAGGCGTCGTTGCTGCCACCTACAGCGTTAGATACTGCAAAGGCATCTGCAACGGGGACCACTGTCGAAATCTCGCGTCCCGAAAACGACACCGGCAGTCGGCGTGTAGCGTTGACGAAAACGGGACCGTCTCGCAAGAACGGCGCGCTATGGGCCACTGTGGTTGGTCGAACGGACCGGACCGTCCGCAGGATGCTACCGAGGCGGTGCATGGGCGACTGTGCGACGGATTGCGACGATGGCAGCACGGCGGAATTCATTTGAGCTGCCGCCAGCGAGCAGCACGCGACTCTTGCTGGTGCTGATTGAGCTCGGCACAAAATAAGCCCTGATGGTGGGTGGGTGGGAGGCTTTTTGCGCGAAGCCGAAATGGTCAGGAAGGGAAACACCCACGTCAGAGAGTTGTCGGCATTCCCTGAAAGTTTCCAGGTCACCACCAGGTTCGAATTGTTTTGGGAAATTCCCCGCCAGAGAGGATTGAGGCGTTCACAGCCACAAGATTTGTTGTCCTCGTGAGAAGCGTGCTACGAGCCGCAATGTGCTGGTCATTTACTGTGTCTGATACTTCATATACGCTGTTGTCTTATGTTTCCTTCAAACACATTCACTAATAATTCATCAATTGCAACAAGCTCTACCCAAGTCAAACGCATCCTAATTGGGCCCTTAAGGGCTCTAAAAGCAACTATCAGCAAAATACAGACTAGTATATCAACACTTGTGCTCTACTTGAGGTAAATTCACTCCTATAAGTGAAACCCCTTGCGTCATCCTTCATTGTTGGCATCGCTGCTTTCCTTCGCCTCTTCATGAGCAACCTCACCACCCCCACTCAATTCGCTCAGCGTCGCGTCCGCCAATCGTTTGCCACGCCCGTCCTCTTTAGTCTCCGTGCCTGCGCCACCAGGCTCGGAGGCTGTGGATGGTATGGGATACTCATGCCGAGCCTTGCGGTCGCGCCAGAGGTCGACCATGTGGTCAATGGCAATGTCGACGGCATCGCGCACGTTGGAAAGGACATGCGAGGGGTCCACGTAGATGAGCGATGGTATCATGTGGATCACCTGGGCGTGTGGGGGTTAGGATGGGGGAAGGATGGATAGAAAGGGGACTGCATTTTGAGGGAAGGGTCACGTGGATCACCTAAGGAGGAGGGGATGGTGGTGAGAGAGAAAGGCAACTGCTGTGTAGCACTGACTGAGCTCATCAAGTGAACATGGTCAAGGGCACGATTGCCATCACTTCCAGCTGCAGCGCATGGCAGCAGACTCAGTCTCACCTGCAGCTGCAGCGCATGGCAGCAGACTCAGTCTCACCTGCAGCTGCAGCGCACGGTAGCGGGCGGGGGCGACCTTGGAGAGGCGATGCTCCACGGTGGTCCACTCAGGCACGTCGATGTATGGCAGGTACACCGAGAAGGAGTCGGGGTTGGCTGGTGGGCGGGGGTGGGGTGGGATGAAGGGGCGTGGGGCCATAACAAGGGCCATGTTGAAAGGGACAAGACAGGGTTGGCAGTGCACTCGGGCACGCCAATGTACGGCAGATAGACCGAGAAGGAGTCCGGGTTGGCTGGTGGGTGCATGGGGGAGCATGGAGTGGGTCATGGGCGCAAGAGGAGCAAATTGGAAGGAAGGAGTCGGGGTTGGCTGGAGGGGGCATGAGAGCAGATGAGGGGCCATGGCAGGGGCATGGGGAAGCAGCATGTGCAAGTGGAGTTGGAATGGGCTGGGTGGGATGATGGGGGCACGGGGCACGATGGGAAATATGACCATATCAGATGAGATGGGACATGTGATGATGACATGGGACATAGTATCATGTGCGATGGATCCTGTCGTTACGTGCGAGGTAGAGTCATTATATGCAAAGGGACAGGTGAACATGTGAGATGGGACATGCGGGTGGCAGAAATGCGTAGAGGGGAGGTGCAGTGCTGGGAGTAGAGGAAGAGAGGAGGCACGTACAGGGGAAGTGGTGCTGGTAGAGTGCGTAGGTGCGGTTCCAGAGCATGACGGGCACGGCCCCCGCCACGAGCGAGTCCATGAGGTAGCGCAGCCCGAAGTTGCTGCCGTCCTGCACCGCGTACTGTGCTGACAGGTACAGGTCTGGGGAGGGGCGGGTGGGTGGAGAGTGGAGGGTTAGAGGAAGCAGGCATAGTGGTTAGAAGTGTCGCAGCTTGTAGTTGCTGCCGTCCTGCACCGCGTACTGTGCTGATAGGTACAGCGCTGGAGAGAGGCGTGGGAAGGGGCAAGCAGAAAGAGCAAGCAAACATGTAGAGTGGTGGTTAGCGCTTGTAGCAGCTGCCGTTCTGCACTGCGTACAGCGCTGAAGGGTACAGGTCGCAACCCACCTCCCACTCACCCATGACCTGCTCGCGGCTGCAGTTGAGCAGGGCGCACAAGGTGGATGCAGCTGGCACTGCTGCACCACCGCCTGCCGTGGTGTCGGGCTTGCCACTCCCCCTCCTCTCACCCACCCACTCACTCATTCACTCCCAACCTCCCATCCCTCCCTCCCCCCCACACGCACCCATGACCTGCTCGTGGCTGCAGTCGCCGCGGCTGCAGTTGAGCAGCGCACACGAGGTGGACGGCGCCTGGCACTGCTGCACCACCGCTGCCCGCGTCTTGGTGGCCGCCTCGGGCTCCTTGCTGTCAGGGGGGATGATGCATGCGAACTGGTAGGGGCGTTTCGCACTCCGCACCGTGGCCTGCAAGGGGCGCGGGGCATGTGTGGGTGATGGAGAAGGAGGGGGGAGGGGGTATGAGAGGGAAGGGCGACACAGTGTTTTGGTGGTCGCCTCAGGTTCCTTGCTGTCCGGTGGGATGATGCTCGCAAACTGATACGGGCGCTTGGCACTGGGCCCTGTGGCCTGCACGGGGTGAGGGGCGTGTGCGGGTGATGAAGGAGAAGGGGGAAGGGGGTATGAGAGGGACGGACAGCACGGTGACTTGGTGGCCGCCTCCGGCTCCTTGCTGTCGGGTGGGATGATGCATGTAAACAAACTGCTACGGGCGGGATGATGCATGTAAACAAACTGCTATGGGCGGGATGATTCATGTAAACAAACTGCTACGGGCGGGATGATGCATGTAAACAAACTGCTACGGGCGGGATGAGGCATGTAAACAAACTGCTACGGGCGGGATGAGGCATGTAAACAAACTGCTACGGACGGGATGATGCATGTAAACAAACTGCTACGGGCGGGATGATGCATGTAAACAAACTGCTACGGGCGGGATGATGCATGTAAACAAACTGCTACGGGCGCTTCACCGCCGCTGCTCTCACTGCCTCTCGTCCCTTCGACTCTCACAGCCTCTCACCTGCTAGCGACGCAGCTGCTTGGAGGAAATGGGGTGGAAGTCTGTGGGGAAGGGTTTGTGGTTCGGGGGTTTGCGGTTGGGGTTTAGGGTTAGCGGCTCAGTTATTGAGTTTAAAGAGCAACCCCTCTGCCCTCACTGCCTTTCACCTGCCAGCGGCGCAGCTGCTTGGTGGAGATGGGGTGGAGTTCTGTGGGGAAGGGCAGCCGCCACACCACACGACACACCATGTCACAATCACCGGTTCCCTTCCCTCCCCCTTCTCTTCCCTGCCGCTTCTCTCACCTGCCAGCGGCGCAGCTGCTTGGTGGAGATGGGGTGGAAGTCCGTGGGGAAGGGCAGCCCGAACGAGTCCTGGTCGTCCCACGCGTAGCGCTCCACCTCCAGCTTCATCATCTGGGGGAACGGGAGGCGAGGGGGGGAAGGGCGGGTTGGAGGAAAACGGGATAAGGAAAGGAGGGAAGTTGCCCATAAAACCCAATTCCCACCTCCAGCTTTATCATCTCACAGGGAAGGAGAGAAGGAAAAGATCGGAATGAAAGGGAGCCGTTTTTAAGCCCAGGTCTCGGAGCGGGACTTCTTGGATGCTCTGAGCTGCACTGGCATGACCTCGGGCATCCGCTCCTGCCTAGCGCCTTCCAGCACAGGGGGTAGAGAGCGATGCATTGGCCTTGTGAGAAATGCGTCACTCTCAGGTCTGTAGCTCTCATAGGTATGCAGTGCACGACTCCCGGGCATGACCTCGGGCATGACCTCGGGGTTAGCGCCATCCAGCACGGGGAAGAGGGAGCGATGCATTCACCTTGAGCAAGCAAACATAATACACTGCCATGATGACATGATGACACGCGTGTGAGCACAGCTCAAAGGCTTGTAGCAAGTATGCAGTGCACGACTCACGGGCATGAACTCGGGCATCTGCTCGAGGTTAGCGCCGTCCAGCACGGGGGACAGCGAGCGGCGGAAGAGCCACGTGGTGCGCCCCAGCCCGAAGAAGTGGTCCTTGGCGCCGTACCTGGGGAGAGGGGGGGAAGGAGATACAGGGAAGTGGGGGAGTGGGGGTTGTAGATGCACAGCATTGGTATTGGGTGAGTGGGGAGCCGGATTCCGGTGGCAGTAAGCAGAGAAGAGCCACGTGGCGCGCCCAGGGCAAAGAAATGGACCTTGGCGCCATAGCTGGGGGTGGGTGGGGGGGAGAAGATGGTAGGCGCGCAAGAAGTTTTTGATGAGCACGAGATGGGATGAGAAACGGGAAATAGAAACAGAAAAAAGAGGAATAAAAAAGGGAAAACGGGACAGGCAGGGCGGTGCACGCCTATGGGTGTGCTGTGCTGTGTGCACGAATGATCTCGCTGGAAGCACGCACCGCTTGAAGGCGGGTTGGCGGCGAATCCACTGTGCCAAGTCGTCATAGTACTCGTCTATGGTGGCGTTGGAGAAGCCCAGCACGTGCTCCAGCTGCAGCCCTGCAGCGAGATCAACAGAGAGAGAGGGAGACACACACATGCACACAACGAGGAATAGAGGGAGGGAAAGCGAGAAACGTGAGGAAGGGGAGCGACATGGCATAGTGGTGTTAGAGAACTCCGGCACGTGCTCTCGGTGCAGGCGTCCAGAGAGAGACAGAGAGAGCGAGAGAGGAGTGCTGTGGGAAGTCGAACGGAGGGGAAACGCGCAGGTCGTCCAACGGGGGGCCACGCCTCTCCGGGCGTACACGAATGTGAGGTCCCAACTGAGACGACTCAAACGTGGCACGCCACGCACCGGGGTAGAATGGGGCGTAGAAGAGGTGATAGAGTGGCACCCACGTCAAGTGGGTGGGAGCGAAGTGGGGGGGGCGTGAAAGAGGCAATTAGCGGCACGAACCGGGGTAGAAGGGGACGTAGAAGAGGTGCGCCTGGGAGGGGTGCGGCGTGAGGCAGAGGTGGTTGCGCAGGCGGTGGTGCAGCAGCAGCTCCGCATTGTACAGCGACGTGCGCCACCAGTGCGCCACCCCCGCGTACTCGGGCTTCTGCGCGCGGGAGGATGGGGGGGATGGGGGGATGGGTGATGGCGAACATGGGGGATGAGGAAAAGGGAAATGGGGGAGGGGCAATGGGCAATGGGGAATGGAGGGCACAGGAAAGGAATACCTGGGAAGGGAAGTGGGGCGAATGGGGGAAGGGGAGTGGAGCGTAGATATTGACGCACAGGATAGGAATACTTCGACGCACGGAAAAGGAATCCTTGGGAAAGGGAAGTGGAGCGCAGATATCGACGCACCTTGGAGTGGTACGACACGCCCATGCCCATGGAGGTGAGCTGCGAGCATCATTTTGCAGGCAATGACTATGAACCCTTGGATCCACTAACGGCTTCGACGCACCTTGTAAGTTGACTCAGAAGTGACTCGACGCACCTTGGAGTGGTACGGCACGCCCATGCCCATGGAGCTGAGCTCCGCGCAGCGCTCACCCGTGTCGTCGCGGCCACGGCACTTGGCCAACACGCCCTGCACGCGAGGGAAGCGGCAAAGGAGGGAGCACGCCGTGATCGAACGGAAACGGAGGGAGCACGGCGTGATCGAATGGCAAAGGAGGGAGCACGCCGTGATCGAACGGCAAGGGGGTAGCAAGGGACAGAGGTCGCCGTGATCGAGCGGCTGATACCAGTTATTGTTTCGAAGCTAGGCTATCGAACGACTGGAGATGTAGAATCGTGCTTGTCCACAGTAATGTGGCAAGCAACGAAATCGGATTCATAAGGACGCTGGGGCTGCAGGGGAGGAGAAGCTGGTGGATGCAGCTCGATAATCAAGCGATTCCTATTCACAGTTGGATTACGAAGTTATGACGACACACTTTGTGTACGGTTACATTCTTTGTTCTCCTCACATCCCAGTAATCATGGCTGTTCTCCACTTGAAACGAGAAAATGGAGAATGGGAACGATCCAGCCACGCAGCTCACGGATCATCACACACCTTGTTGAACCTCGCAGGCAGGTTATACATGTAGATGTACCGGCCTTCGCACACGCGAGCTATCGTGTCGGGATCGGCTCTCTTGGTTTCCGCTTTCTCCGGTACGTCATAGTGCAGCCACGTCACCACCCCCAGGCATATCACGATCAGAGCTAGCAAGCGAAGCCTACCCGCTCGTCCGCTCCCTTTTGACGGGACTCCGTACGATTTCATCATCTCGATCTGGATGTCAGCTCCAGGACAGTACCGCGGAAAGGTTGAAAAAGCGGAAACTAAGCGGAAACCTCTTGCGGAATTGACCTTAAATATCTGATACCCTGAAAATCAACACCCTAATTTGAGAAGCCAACTCGTTTTGCTGGCTCAATCGGAATCTGTCGTTCCAAGACTGCTGGTTTCTGTATCCCCTAAATTACCTACTCCAACTGCGTTAACGAATATCAAGCTGCAAGCATTTCATACAAACAGCGGATTGCCACTAAGGATGAAACTCCGCTGCTAAAAAACCACGTGTCAGCCACAAGCAGCACCAGGAATGTACTTTCCTTTGTAGTGATTCTGCCCGATTCGACTGCTGTGGTGGTGTTTTGTGCAGGAGAAAACAACCGTCTCTCACTCCCAACTTTGTGTGATAGTAGCTGTTGTTATTGGATGTACCTCGTTCGAAGAAAGGACACGAATGGCATGCCAACGGATCTCAGAACCGGAGAGTCGGGCTTGTAATCCACATCGACGTAACCCGTCTTCATCGAGCCTCTCGTGCTGTCAGGTAACGAAGCGGAACTGACAAACCGCGGCTTGATCAAGGTATGGAAAAGCTGGAGGTGAAGCAAGCCTCGTGGTTGTGAGGCAAATGAAACGTGGCACAGTGTCTGGAGGCATCGAGCCAAGAGGTTAGGTCGGGGTAGGCTTAACGCGGCGCAGGTTTGAGCTGATTTGAAGTAGCGGTTCCGCCTCGCACAGATTGGTCAAGAGCAGCGAGACATGCCACATTGTACCATGACTCCACGAATTTATCGCCTGGAAAACAACTGTACCTGCGCAATCAATATATTTTTCCGTGTCTTGAAGATATATTGTGCTACATAACTCTGAAACATCTTATGAATATCCATCAAACAGCTTCCCATCAATCTCAGCTGTTGATGGTCACAAAACACCAGACCGACCAGACTGAAGTGTCACTCCATTATCTGCTCAGCAGGTGCCAAGGTGGCACAATTCGACTCCAATATTTTCTGCAGAGTAAATTCTCATCAACATTCTCAACAACGAAGAAATCGACTTGCAGGCACGATACATCATAGATTCATAGCTTACCGCAGTTGCACCTTGGGCCTTGGCTCGAAGACGGACCAGAGAGTGGTCCTGAAGAGCATTCATGGAGCACACAAGATGCTCAAACCTCTCTTCCCTGGGCACTGCCTCCTTGACAACTGGGGGGAGGGAAGCACAACTGCAGGTATTGGTGCAGCTTTCCAATCACCCGTAAATGCAGTACAGCTTGACTACAGCAACCAACCTGCAAAACTTGGTGTAAACTATATGAAGGACTCTCCCTGGTATGTACAAGCGTGCAGGATTCCGATGAAGCACCCAGGACGGGACAAGTGTGTCCTTCATACATGAGAACGCTAGTAGACATGGTAAGCTGCACAGAGCAGAATTACGTAAGTTTCTGAAACCAGCTAGTGCCTGTCCTGGCATGAGAAATGAAAACAAAAAATACAGAACACACACCACAATGCAGCCCCGAAAATAAGCTGAAGAGGCAAAGCTGTCCGGGGAAGAAAATCATCCTGCAAGGAACGGGTTACAATGCTTTCCTCACAACGTACTTTGCACGAGGGAGGAGGAGGAAAGGACAGCTGAGCTCACATCGTATCTTACCTGAAGGACCACGGAGGTGATGACATTTGAATACTTGACAGCCAGGTTCAGAGACACAACCCTTGGTGGTGCGAAGGCCAAGCAGCGGAGCTTCGCTGGCAGCAAAATGCCAATTCGATCTGGCGAGCTCGCAAGGAGAATAGCGAGCAGGGAGGCTATTCCGCTGCCAAGCGAGTGACCGCTGAGTGTCAGGGTAAACCCCGGATTCGCTTGTAGCAGCTCCTTAAGGTTGTCAGACTCTCTTTCAAGCAACCACTGCGATGCTTGCAGAAGGCCCTTGTGGGCATAACCATCTTCAAGCCTCTGCAAAAACCCTAGCCACGCTGAAAATCTTGGAGTTCAACAAAAGAGCCTGCGGAGACCAGAAATGCGTTTCCTATGGCTTCGCCAAGCACTTCCGTACTTGGGACGGACTTTTGTCACGGCGGAGTCGGACTCACCTGCTGCCCCGTTCGGTTGTTAAGCAAGACGGCGTAATCCGCCTCGTGGGTGAGATGCAGACCGCGAATCGCGACGCATACATCCTTGGCGTCAGGATCGAGGAATACGGTGTACGGCGGGCACTGCCCTCTCGTGTCATCGTACGAAACGGATTTCACTACGCGCGCCGGCCGTACGGCATCGCTGAAACGAGGCTCCGTTACATCCCGCTCGTACACGGAGAGTACGAGATTCGAAACGCGTGTGATATTTTGAACGTCCGGGAGGGACGCCTCTGGCCAGGACGCGCTAGTAAAGGAGCCGTGCAGGCCGCATCTTATGAACGCGTACTGCGCAAAAACCGCAGCACACGCACTCGCGCCGAAAATTGCGACTTCCATGTTACTCAAGGACATAAGAACCAAATACTCTCTGGCGGAAGTTTAGGTCACTGTGTTGAATTTCCTGTGGATTCTGAAGCTCGCACATGGAGGGCGGATTTTGCCCAGCTGCATCGTGCTCTCCACCTCGTATGGCTCTGAATCGCGAGCATTAGCCTTGACAGCAACAACGAGTCTGATGTTCCTGTAGAATGCTGCGTGGCGTGTAGTCGATGCATGGCGTGAATGCTAGTACTATGGCGAGAACCAGGGTGGGCGAGAACAGACTTGACGATTGAGGGGCGATTTCTTTGTTGTGCATTTTCGTTCTCTAGAACGTGATGCGATAATAGTCTTATAACAATATACTGTACATCAAATTGTGAGTCCCTCTCCATTCATACCAACTGCCAACCATTGATCCCTGTTACGAGTGCAATTGAGTGAACGAACGAGAATTGCACTATCGAAGCAAGAATACAATGAGCGAGGGCGTGAGCGAAGAATATATAGCGAAACTACAGTGGTAACGGTAATGGTCTGTGGTAGTCGCGCGACGAGCCTGGGACTGAGGTTGGGAAAGTGTCGAGGCGTAGGCCCGGAGCGCGGGTTACCAGCCGAGCCGTGAGGTCGGGATGCGATGTGCGAAAAATGGCGGGATGATTGTCGATGCGATGATCGCGAGTGGTAATGGTGCTGAGTGAGGTGCTACAGTGATGTACGCGTTGAGCAGGGATGCGAAGTAAGGAAAAGGGATTTTCCTTACACTACCCCCCCCCCTCCTAAGGAGGTCCTTCTTACGAAAGTGTGTGGACATCTTTGAAGTTTCGGCTGCGCAGATATTCGGTGAGGACAGGGTGGTTTTCAATTCTGTCCAGGGGAACCCAGTTGTCCTCTGTAGGTGTACGGTCTTTCCAGCGGATCAGGAACTCGATCTTTCGGGCTCCTCGGGGGTCGCGAACTCTGTGACTCAGGATTTTGTCGGGGGTGATGATTGGTTCGGATGGTGGTCGTGCCATGCTGGATGGTCGGTGTCGTGGGAGTTGGCCGGTGGATGGTACGTAAGGGCGAAGCAAGCTGACGTGGAACGAGGAGCTGACGTACCAGTCAGCAGGGAGGAGGAGGTGCGCGGTGACAGGTGTGACCATGTGGCTAATTCGAAATGGCCCACAGTATCGGGGGCGGAGTTTTGGAGTGATGGGCAGGCGGAGGTTTTGAGTGTCGAGTAAAACAAGGTCGTCGGGCTGATAAGTGACAGGTCTGCGGTGGCGGTCGGCGTTGCGTTTAGCGATGATGTTCGATTTTTTGATTGCTTCTGCTGCCCTGGTCCGTGCTGCTTGCAAAATCTCGGCAAATTGTTGCGCACGTGGAACGGGGTTGTCGGGATTTGGGGTCATGTGTACAGTGGGGTCTTGTCCGTAATTCAGGTAAAACGGCGACTGTTGGGTCGTGGCAGATGGCGCGTTGTTGTATGCGAATTCGATGAGTGGCAGCTGCTGCTCCCACGTGTTTGGGTCGTCGCACGTGGCCCTAATGAGCTGCTCCATAGTTTGGTTTGTCCGTTCTATCTGTCCGTCGGTTTCGGGGTGATACGATGAACTGAATTGTAGTCGCGTGCCGAACTGCTGCCACAAGTTCCG